GTTACCCATAGCTCTGTACTTGACTACTACTCTTTCTGTACTTCCCTCTATCTCTTTGCTGTCACCACTGATTCTGACTAGTGATTTTCCTCTAAAGAACTTATTGTCATATTGATTATAACTGTAACGTGTCTAATTTGTAAGTCACTTTGGAAAAATGCATAAAAATTAAGCATTAAACATGAAAATATGTCCATGTAGGAAAAAGTGTCTTTTCACCAGATGAATGGGTTGGCTATAGGTGGAGAGCAATAACTATTTTTTTTAGGTTATGTTTTAAATCGATATCTTATAGGTTTTTAAAAAACATTTTTAAAATACCCTTTTTAATTGGATCTATATGATTAAACCATAGTTTGATGAGCAGAATGACACCTCAGTAGTTCAGCGCGATGAATCCATAAACCTTTAGCCTATATGATATGACGTCAAGCGCGTCCATGTTAAATGGATCCGACCTAGCAAAGAATCAAAGTTTTATATTCAACATGGATATTGCGGATACTCCAGTCCAGTGCAAACTCCAAGTGAGGTGCAAAAAGTAAAAAAACAATAAATAAATCTAACAGCTGTTCCAACTTTTCATTGGCAGTCATGGTAATAACTCTTGGTTTTTGTTTTTAATAAAAGCAAATAGAGCATATGCTACCCCGCTTTTGTTTTACACATTTGCCTAAATGCAATGATATTGTATTCTGGCCAGCGAGACTTATTTACACTGTATACACTGCAGAAGGACCAGGTAGTACTTGATGTCAAAGGCAGGAATACCCGGACTAACACATTCAGCAGAACCAGTTTAAGTCTAATTAGATAACTATAGCTGTGATGCAAAAATGTCTTTTTTTTAAAGAAAAGTTTCTACAGCACCCAGCTGTTGAAATTGTAAATATATATCCAGCTCATTGAGGACATAATAAAGGGCATCATTAAAACATCACTTTGTTGCAGCTGCAATTGTCATTTTTATGGTTACAAAAAACAGCTGTTGCATTATGGTTAATTCTGGTGCAAATATAAACTCCTAAACCTCCCATACTGTGATTGGTCCAATCTGTTTTAGACCAGAATCTGAGCCTCATCAGACTTATTACTGCCCCATGTAAGTCAGTCTAGCTGGCCAGGCTAATGAAACCTGGGCTACAACTACAGATTATTATGCAAATCAATTAATCTGTTGATAATTTTTTCGATTGATTGATTAATAATCGGATAGCCAAAGATTCTTTAAAGTAGACTTTTTATTAAATTAAACAAGTGAAACTCAAGCTTTACACTTGAGTTCTGGATACAGCATATTGACTACAATTTTGATATATTTACTGCTCTATGTAAGTCAGTTGCTCCGTCAGCTAAAAGCATGTTTTACAGTCTCTTTATCCAGCTAACGATTAATCCATTACTGAATTAGTTGACGATTATTTCAATAGTCGATTAATCAAGATTAATGCGATTTAATTGTTTCAGCCCTAAATGAAACTGTTCAATTTTTCTTAAAGTTGTACTCTGAGAATCTTATACCTGCCAATGTCTGTAAAAACATAACATAGCATTCACATCAGGATGCCATACATCAAAGTGGCAAGGACACTGATCTTGCCTCATTCTCCCAAACAATATAACTATCCTGTTCCCACTGCAACGACCTGAACATTTTCAGATCATTGCAGTGGGAACAGGTCTGTAAACATGAAAAAATACTGAACTTGTTACTCTTACTCCACAGAACTAGTCTACTTACACAGCAGATGTGCTAAAAGAGTTTTGGAGCCTGAGTATGTACCTAGAATGTACATTTTTGTTATTTTAGTTTTTTGCTGTAACACTATAAATAAAGAAAACCAGGTTTATATAGTGTATGGGGGGAGGGGGGGGCTGTACTTCCTTACAATATCACTTAAAATAGGTATTTGTTTAATTGCCTTTCAGCCTATTCTGATAGAGCTCATAGTGAAACCAATAGGTCAGAGTCAGCTATTTGTTTCTACCATCATGCAGAATCTATTCCACTACTTTCTTAGTTGTTTTTTTTTACATTGAATTTTTGCACTAATGTATGTTTAATTGGCGCTTTCCCTTAAAAAAAACTTTTTTCTTTTGCAGCTGCAGCCATGAATGTACACATGCGTCCATTTAAAAAATTTAATCAAGCTACTGCACAGCTGCTCTACTGATTAAAAAACTCAATTCCAACAAGATCAGAGAAATGTTTAAAAAAAAAAGTACCCGTGTATTGATGTTGTTCAGTATTATTAGCAAAGAGATAGCTAACATCTATCAGGACAAAAAAATAAATACTATTGCAGCCTATTGGTCTTTCCAGGTTCTCTGCTTGATTAAAGCTGGAATTAAATCATGGCAATGACCTTCTTCGCTAATGACTAATTACTGGCAATTAGCCCAGAGAATGGCCTCCTTACGCCCCATGTTATTTTTCCCTTATTCTCTTCTCACAATCTGCACGTACTTACACAAAAAGACATCCGAGTCTTTACTTTGACATACAAATGCACACGCCCATTGAAAAGCACTACAAAAAAAAAGAACCATTGTATATATTGTGTGCAAGTACACATGTTGTCACTGAAGCATAGCAGGTCTCAAGCTACAGAGTACTTGAGCAAACACTTAAAGTGAGCCACACCTTTCCTACCTGTTTGGTTTATTCTTTCTGGGATCTGCATTGGTCTCAGTATTAAAGCTCACTACCTACATTCTTCAGGTCACGTGATGCCGTAACCGTCGTTCAGTGAAATATGCACAGGTGACGCATGCACAGAAAAACCTATTGGGTGTATCACTTTGTTTTTTTCTAGTTTGAGTGCATGGAGAGGTGAATTGACGACCCTTGGCAAGTGATGAGAGTTCACATCAACTATGATGACTTCTTCCTTCACCGCCCCAACTCCCACAGCCTCCGTTTCCCTTTTATTTTGCTCCCTTCACTCTTTTAATCCTCTTCTTCTTTCTGAAGTGACTTCCCAAATCTGCAAGCTAAATAAGTTCTCACCATCAAAAAGCAGCGAGAGGATACTTGTCAGCTTGTCTAGAATCACTTCCACTGAGGAAAAAAGTAAAAATTGCTGAAGCGTAGAGAGACAGAGAGAAAGAAGGGGGAAGAAAATGCTGATTCTAGAACTACTAAGCCCCGGGCAGGCCTGTGTGAAAACCTGCTGTAACATAACATGTCTGGGAAAAGCTGAGGAGAAGCGAGATCATGGAACAATCCCCACATAATCACCAGCTTCTTTCTTGACTCCACACGCCTTCGGCTTCACGCTTGTAACACATTACAAAGGTTGACCATCATGGAGTCGTGAAATGAGCACAATTTATGACTCCATTATGCGCCTGAGTGTGTGGGCCGTCGATGCACAAAATATGTCACAAATCACATTCGTGAGCCAAGATGAAGACAAAGAAAGGCTTGAAATTATCTCTCGGCTGGTTTTGCTTTCCAGCTTTCTTTGCGTTCAGCAAAATAACATGCATTAGAAATATAGGATCACTTTATTTATATTGTGAGGAAATGTTTAATACACAATTAACCATGATTTTTGACTGTTGTGGGATTGGGCAAATCAAACCAATTGGAAAAAAAACGAACATCAGAAATGTTCATAATTTTCCCTTGGGAAAATTACAGAGTAAGCATCAAAAATGTATTCAACCAAAATCTGAAGCAGAGTAGTGGGATTCTTGGTATATTCCTGATCAGAAACGGACAAGAACGAATAAACAGCGCTCTTGAAGAGGGGACTGGTCTGTTCCTTCATGGCTTTCCTTCTCTAAATGTTTCCCACCCTGATGTCTGCCATTCCCAGAGGAGCTGCAGTTATGATGGAAACAATTTTCAGCCTCACTAAGTAGTCCTCATATATCTCTCATAACACAATAGAGCAACATTTACAGTCCTTTAAAAAGGTATTGGTAGCCTTTAAACGTTTTCACATTTTGTCTTGTATTTGGGGGGATTTTATGCAATATGTTGACACAAAGTAGTGCGTAATTGTAAAATCAGAAGGACATGTTTTATTAAAAATACACATTTCAGTATTTGGATAGTCTGAACACGGAGAGCAGATAAGCAGAAAAGAAACCCATGAAGACACTGGATGAGCTTAAGAGATCCACAGCCCAGGAGAGATAATCTGTCAGCAGGGAAACGCTTAGTCGTGCCCTCTACAAATATGAAAAAGTGGCAAGGAAGAAATAACTTTGTGAAAGAAGTTCACAAGAACTCCTATGTCACTTTGCTACAAGCCATACATACAACAGACACAGCAAGGAAGTCCATGAAGGACCTATGGTCAGATTAGGGGAAAATTAAAAGTTGTCTGCCTTCATGCATAATGCTTACACTGCAGGTCACCCTGAGGAGATCACCCAGATGGAGAAACATGGTGGTGGTGGAATGAATGCAGCTCAACACAGAAATTCTCTGTTTGGCGTATTTTGGGAAATAATTAGTTAAACTTACAGTCTTTCAAGGTTAGGATACAAATCCCTAAAGACTAGCAGCTGCCCTTAGAGGACAGTTATCATTTTCATTCCAGTTTACATTTATTGCCTACATCGTGTCAGTGTTTTGTACAAAAATCCCCATAAAATAGATCAAGTGATGTTATAAAATGCCAAATGAAATACTTGAATAGTGTTACAGAGGAATTCAAATGCAGCATATTCCTCTTTAACAGACATCTTTTTCATTCTCTTTAATTTCCACTGCTATAGTTTAATCAGTGTGCCATTCTGGGTTTTAAAAAAAAGCATCACATGATGTTGGTGACTCAATCAGAGTCAGTGGTTATTTATGAGAGACTCGTTTTAACTGTATAGACAGTCAACTTATAAAGAAAGAGCTGTAGGCCATACAGTAACAGCTCCACATGTTGCAAAATCCTAAAGAAGTCACTAAGGGTTAGTTAGGGGGGAGGAAGCCATTAGTTGGAGAAAGTCAGAAAGTGTGATCCAAGAGTTGCTTAACAGAGCAAACTCACATCACGATGTTTTCCAGAGAGATGTTTCCCATAGAGCGCAGCGCAGCGCAGACCAGGCCGCGTCCTGGAGGGACGCGCTCCTCTCCACCGCCTCAAAGGGACTCCTAAGTTTGTTTATTAGCAGAAAGCCCACATTGCTCCGCGCTGCAACACGCGGTGCTCTTCGGATCTAACGTCCCAGACCAATAAATTGTGTTTCTGTCTCAAACAGTTTAGCAAGAGACGCGCGACGAGCGCCATAAATTATATAAGCGCAATTAAAGTGCCAACCTCTGACCTTGCCAGACCGGGGCGCAAGCACCGATCACCTGACTGCGCAATGAAAACAACTCAAGATTGGGTGTCAAACTGCTAGTAGAGACAGCGACTTCAAAATATCACGGGCAGGACTGAGTGGTTAAAGTCCGCGGACAGTTTCCCTGAGCTGAGCTGAAAGACGCCATGAAACGAAGCTCCCGAGTGAAAACAAAACAGCAGAGTGGATAGGAAGACGGACCGCTGCTGGAAGCAGGCCTTTACTTACTGAGGTGTAAATATGGATCATTGTTGTCCATAGTGAGCGAGTTGTTGCGTCGGTTTCCTACAGTTGTTGCCGCTCCGCATCCCAGTGCATTCCTCTCTCTCTGTGACTGAACTCTGCAAGGCAGCCAGGGGGCCCAGTTAGGGAGGGGGCGCGGCAGAGCAGGGCTTCTCCCAATGACAGCAGTGCTCGATATCCATACGTGGGTCATGAAACATTCCTCCTGCTTTGTTTCAATTATCTGCTGCAATTCTTTTTATTTATTTGTTTTTATTTGTTTATTAAAATGTAAAACAACAACAACAGAAACACAGAGACAATGTAAACTAAACTGTTTTGGCCCAGCTTTGATGACACAAAAAAGGTAACAGATGCACCATGGACTCATTTTACGCAAGCAAAATAAAAAATGTTCCAGGTAAACTCCTTTATTTTTTTTTTTCAGTTTTATTTCTCATCAGGCAAGCAAACAGGAAAAGTCAAACATTTCATCCATGTTTCTCTTTCGCAGGGGCGGAGCTAGATGGGGGGGGCCAGAGGTGGCCATGTTTTTTGATAAAGGTAGGTAAGTAATGACGATGGAAAAGATTTACGCCTCAGAACTCAAAACTGAAAGTTTTATCCACTATACCTTTTATCTGGAAATTATGGATGTTTAAATATATGCATCTATTTGTTAGCAAAGGCCGTAGGAAAGTATAGTTTATCTTTATTTAGAAAATATGGATTTTTTTTTGGTCATTAATTGTCCTGTTGCAATAGTGTAGATTGACCCAGAGGTTCTGGTGCCTATCTGCATTCAGCCACCCCTCAGTGTACATTGGTTATTGCCTGGCCACCCTTGTAAAAGAATTTAAAAAAATATTTATAACACCTAATTCACCCAAATTAATGATAACTAACCAAAAACAAAGGAACATGACTAAATAACAAAAAAAAAAAATAATAATAATCTTATAACAGATATCAAACAATAAAGTAAAATAAAGTTAGCTAGATTATGCACAAAAAAGAAAAAACTTTATTTATTTTCAACAAAAAATAATTGGTTCCTACAAAAACAATGGAAACATATTTCAACTAATATTACCTATTTTGCTTTAGCTTAGCATATAAGACTATGTGGTTGCTTGAACTTCCAGGCTTCCATAGGTTTCCTAATTAATGAGCAATGCAAATCGAGTGAAATATGAATATCATGCTGTGCAGGGCTTAATTAATTAGAAAATTCAATGTAAAGCGCAGGTTTATGCATTTTTTCCTCTCGGGTGAGCAGCGGTGTCGCCAGAAAATTTTTATAAGGGTGGCCAATCAAAAACCAATTTAAACTGAGGGGTGGCCGAAAAAGGATAGGCGCCAGAACCTCAGGGTCAATCTAAAACGGAACGAGCACTACATCCATATTTTCTGAATATGAATAACTATACTTTCCTACAGTATTTGCTAACAAATAGACGCAAATGCAGTATTTAAACATCAATTCTGTCTAAATAAAAGGTTTAGTTGGCAACATTTTTGAGGCAAACATCTTTTCCATTGTCATTACTTACCTACTATTATCAAATATTGTTCTGCATAAAATTAATATTTACATGGCCTAATATCTATATTAAGTTACTATTAAAGTAATTACTTATCTATGATTTCACTGAAGACTCCTAGATGACTTCTAGAGGCACATAATTTTCTCTTTATCCCATACAACACAAAATGTAGTTCTGAAAAGATTATGAATTCTCTATATATCAACTTTAATGTTAGTATTTTGATGTGTTTTAGTTTAAATAATTGCTAATAAATGAAAAATTAAAATGTTTTATAAGTTTAAATATTCTCCTTGAGAGTATTACTGCTGCCACCATCTGTATTATAGGGGGGGGAAACAATGGTGGGGGTGGCCAATGATTGGCTAAGGGCGGCCGTGGCCACCTCTGGCCCCCCATCTAGCTCCGCCCCTGGGGGCGTGGGGGATTCCTCCTGTGTTTACCTAATTGCTAGTGTGAGTCCTGGTCTGGATACCCCCCGCAGCCCCCCCACTCCCTCCTCAAACCCCTTTTCAGAGTGAGGGGTCATCCCGGGGTGAAGCTCCCGGCACCTCAGAAGGTTATTCAGGAGTCAAGCCCGGCTGAGGTATTCACAGAGCCGCTGCGCAGAGCGGCCAGACGCCCCGTCAGCGCCCCGGCCCCGCTGACCACTCAGCGGACCTCCTTTATAGGCCTGCCCCTCTAATGGGGCAGAGCACCCCCGACTCTACGTAACAGCGACCCATAAAGGCGCACAGGAGGATGCTAACCAAGATGAATGGCGTTTTTTTCTCTCGCCTCATTCTACACTAATCAGTGCTTTTCATTTGTAATGGCATCGCGCCAGCCCCGTCCACCGCAGCGTCCATTAGGCCCAGATAACGTATAAATTCATTAAAGTCAAAGAGAGGGGCATTAAAATGGTCGTTTGTGAGTTCTCCCTTTGTGAGTCCCTAATGGCGGCACATGGTTCAAGGCATTGAGATGATTTTGGTTGCTTTAAACTGGTGAATAAGGAGAAGGCATGTTCGATTTGCAGAATTTAGAAAATCTTTATTTTTTTTCTCTCTTTTGTTATATTTTTGTCCCGATTTGCATGCATTTTATTCATTTCAATTTGTTTTTTTTTTTTTTAATAAATAAAAACTGTTAATGTTTTATTTTTCTTATCAATCCAATCCATCAACTTCAGATTACCCCCCACTCCTTTACACAAATACAAACTCACAGTGGGTGAACCGGCCCTTTTCACTAAACCCTTTGTATTCAAAGTCCCCTTCCCACCAAAACAATGTTCTAAAGAGTAATCTTAAACTAAGTTCTACAAACATACAGGCCACCTGTTTGGAAACTGCACTGCAGCTAAAGCAAAGAGGCAAAAATAAAAGAAGCATCATCACATTAAAGTACTGTTTTATTAAAAGTTAACATGCATCTTTACAAGAACGCCAACACAAACTATGAATATGATATATTTTGGTTGTTTCTTGCAGTGTTGCCATGGGAGATGACTCTCCCCATCTGCCTCCTCTGTCAAGAAGCTCATCTCCATCAAGCTTTATCAGAGGGTGCTCCGCCACCCCCTGCTTTCCTGGACCCTCTTCAGCTCCCCACACCCCCTTGTCCCTCTCTTCATACATAAGCCCGAGATGATAAGTGTTCTGACTCTTTGTGCGGGCTTGGAATAAGACAATGCCACACATCACTACAGAACACCATCCATCTCACAGGCCATCAATCTGGCACACAAAAGATGAAATGTAGCTCCAGCTCCCTTTTTTGGCCAAGTGGTTTCTCTTTGCTTAGAAGTAGCTTTGTCTTTCATTTCTCTTTCTTCTTTTCATTGCCGGGTTTGTGTTAAACCAAAAAAAATCGCTTCAGGTTGTGAACACATGTTGGAAAACTACACCGGCCGTTTTCTTTTGCGAAATGCATCATGGACAATTTTAAAGATATTGAGTTTTCAGCAAAAATAACTTATGAAAAATGCTTAACGGAAACATTTTCTCCAATATGAAAGGATGTTTGTCCTTTCATAATACCATTGAAATCTTATTTATCCTCTTCTGCTTACAATTAGCTTTAAATTCTTCCAAGATAAGCTTGGAGCTTTTGTTTAATAGTTACTGTGAATTAAAGCTCTAAGATTTCAATATTATTTATAGATATAATCAACAGAGACATAGCTAATAATTAAGAAAAACTCTAAAGTATTTAAAACAAAGAAGTTGGAGTCTCTGAAGATTTGATTCAAAGCTTAAGTTTACATATTTTCCTTTTTTTCTAGAAAAACATATTAAAGTATTGAAATTCCAGTTTTAAATGAAGGTGAATTCATGTTCAGTTTTAGATGATTTGCTTAAGGTTGTTCCAATTCACAGCACCTTGGGGGAATCAACAATAAGCTTGTTTGAGTTGTGCAATGGATACAGTGCTTTGTAAAAGAAAAAAAAAATATTTGTCTATCTTTGTCTTAAATTTTACCATTTCAGAGCCTCAAACTTCTTGGGGTTTTATGTTTAAAAATAGCAGAATAGTGCGTAAGTGGAAGTAAAATGATTAAGTAAAATATAAACAGAGACCATCATTTTGTTATATCATCTCAGGAAAAAAAGCAGCTCTTCTGAAAAGGCCTCAAAGGTTCATAAGAAAACAGTGATGAACAAAGAGATTTTCATGTCCCCAATGCAAAAACATGATCATACATGTCATGTATTAAAAGGACAAACAAACAAAGCTGATTCTGTGACCAAAAAAGCCTTAATCCATTTTCCTGAGATGTTCCATAAACTGTTCAGCTAAACTATCAGGTTAACCTGTTAATCTCCTCTCTATGCTGCTGCATTAGAAGCTTTAAACAATCAATATGATGAGCCTCGGCTGGAGCAGAATTAAGGCGGCATCCAATAAAACGCCCTTCCAATCATAGACTGTTATTGCTGCTCATCTCAGCCAGCACATCATCTGTTTTCTTAGATGGCTCTGGCGCTGTCTGAATGTTCGAGCGGTGTTCGTATTCATCCATGAACTGGTCAACACCCTGTGATGATTATCATGGGTTTATTAGATGGTTTTAGGAGACTGGAAGTTGATTGCAGACCCCTGGCAGATGGTTGACCTTCACATTAGTCGTCACCTTCCCGTATTAAGTTAAGACAGACTAGGGGCTTGTTCTTTTTTAAAGGAGCTGAACCGGACCACCTCAGGTTAATCTCTCTATAGCCTGAAATGCCCATGAGGGATTAGGCCCAGAGTACACCTGCTGCTGGTTTTTAACACACTATGTCTCTGCTTTAGCGGGATCATCATAGCTTTTAATATCACTCACTCAAGCAATATATATTAAGTTATATAAGTGTGTATCCTTTTTCTATTTTCATTTATTTAGAATATTTTGCAAATAAAGACTTCAGATTAGTTTCTCAATGACAATCTTTGGAATATATATATATTTCATGTATTTAAAATAAATCCAACTTATTTCCTTCATTTTGGTAGACCTATTTGGATCAAGCATAGTTGGACGAAATAAAACCAAGATGCTTGGATGCCTTGTCGTGACACTAAAGTAGAATTCACACCAGGATTGAGACGTCAGCAGCATTTTAGCCTCACTGAAGAATTTGTTCAATCCGTGTGACACAGCAGACGACGAGGCCATCCCTTTAGGTGGTTTGACAACAGTTCACAGTCAAGCTGGAAACTTGACCTGACTTTTAACATTTATTCACGCTTTGATTTGCATTAGCCTGACACTTACATGATTGACATGCAAGTGTGTGAAAAGAGCCAAAGACTTTGAAAGGCCGTAATGCTCACAAATACTGCCTTTTAAGAGAGAAGACAGGCTATCTTACATTTTGTATTAAATCCATTTCTGACATGGGTGTTCTAATACATTAAAGCATATCTATTACTTCATAATTTCTTTCAGCCACTGTTTACTGTATGTGATTTTTTATGCATCAATCTCTGCAAAATAAAACAATCATTCCAGTTAGCATTTTCAAATCATGATATATTGGGAAAAACAGGCATACTGCAGCAGTCGTTGTGACAGTTTGCAGATTTTTTTTTTTTTTTTTTTGCATTGCTAGCATTCAGACTTAAGAGATCTGTTGAATTAAGCTAGTTTTGTATTTCCCATTGGAACAAAGCATATACAAAATATTGTTATTTTTGTTTATTGACAACAAGAAAATGTGTAAATGACCAAAAAGGAAAGATATTTTCTTTTATTCAAACAAAAGATGTATAGATTTGGGAAGGTTTAATTCTTAATAGCGCAAAGAATAATCCTAATTGTTGATTACTGTTTTAGCACAATTCCAATCTAAGGAACTAACATAATCTTTTCTTTATGTTTGAGATCAGTTTGCTCAAAAATACATGTCCTTTAATAATAACTAGTTATCTGTGATTGCTTTTAAGTGCAGCTGATTAAACTTGACTCCCTGTCTCTAATTCCATTGGATATTTATGGAAAAGCTATTAATGGCAGTGCTGTACCCAACATTAATAGGGCATCACATTATAGCCGCATACAACCTTTGCTCAGCTTTGATTGTGAACAAAGTTGCCTAAAAGACAACATGTTTCTGCATCACATGGCACAAAAAAACTATTCAAAGATTAGATCTAGCTATTTGTATGTCTTACACTTCAAGAATATATTTTTTCAAAAATATAAGCCACTTGGGTTTGATTTCAGGGGTGCAGAATCAGTGAAAATGTTAGTGATATATTGGCTTTTATGATGTATGTAACACCAAAAATGGAAAGCATCTCAGAGAATTAAACTATAGTTAAATGTTAATTTGCCTTGTATAGTGCCTTATCCATGGACCCTTGTCCTTTGGTAGATTAGTAGAGGCTAGGCTACCATGCAATAGGAAGCACCAGGTCTTCGAACCAACAACAACTGTAAATTAATGTAGAAATTATTTTATTTATAATTACATAAACTAAGGACTGTCTATTTAGGTTGAAATATATATATATATATATTTTCTATGAATTTTTCATTTTTTAAGGTAAATATGGTATTTTTGGAAGATTTGTTGTTTTTTCTTAAATGGTGCCCTTTTTAAATGAAGATGTATCTATTTGTTGAGCTGCAGAGTATAGAACATGGACTTTGCTGCTTAAAAATGTTCTCTGCCAATCCCAAGAAACTTCTTTTGCCTTGCTGCTTAAAAATGTTCTCTGCCAATCCCAAGAAACTTCTTTTGCCTCTGACTTCTTTAGGCTTCATGTACCACAGAACCTCTCAGTAAAGTACCAGATTATATGTGCCCTGGAGTAACATGTTCAGCAATACATTTCATTGTACTTACTGAATTAGCATTGGTGTATGTATAGGACTAGTATTTGGTCCCAACACCCAAAATTACACAGCACATTACTCACTTATATACACAAATGGATGCATTAGTTAACATCCTATTTATTTAATTAATACCTTTATAAATAACATAGAATGCTTAATTGATATATTTTGATAGTGGCCCGAGATAGTGGCCTAATATGCCAAATGTGTGGGTTTAATGATCTGCAAATCAAGAACCTTTATTGTCATTAGATACATTATCCAAGTAACTGGAATTTAGCTTTTATTTCCTATTAAAGATGTTTTAAGACACTTGACATAGAGGTCAAGCACTGACAGTTGAAATCAGCTTGGAAAAAAAAAAATCCCTGACAGTCCAATACCGCCATCTGGTGGTTATTTTAGGCAACGCAAATTGGCCAACTGAGACGTATGCAGTACACTGGTCCCTCAACGGCACCCGTAGATGTTGGAGTAAAGACAGACGTGTATTTAACATGACAGTGATGCGAGTCTGCGCTTCATCGCGATTAGTTTCCTTTTGAGAGATAAGTCACTAATGAGTTCAAAGCAGCATGTCATCCGACTTAAAGTTAGACTTCGGAAATTGCCATCAAGACCCTGTGAAGATGGATAGCGAGACAAGCATGTTCTCTATCGACCAGGGAGGAGAGTGGGGTAAGGAGACCCGATTCTTTCTAGAAACACCCATGTTAGGAAGCTGTGTGTTTAAACTGTTTACTACTAGGTGACGTCTTCATTTCAAGAAATAATGAAATAAATATTACGTTTAATAATGTTTTGTTTTAGAATCATTCCTACGGCGTTTTTGAGGTTATTATTGGTTATTTATTGGGTTATTTTTCAACTTGTTGCTATCCAGTTAGCATTAGCATGCTATAGATGCTGAGATGACGTAACATTGCCAGTTATTATGTAAATGACAGCAAAAATGTACGATTTCAAATTAATAATTACAAATATATACATTTTAACAATTATCTAATACATATTTATATGATATATTTCCATATATCAGTTTAGCTGCTGTGGCATTGTTAGCCTAGCATCCTGTGCTATTGTTTACAATATGTTTATAACTCATTGGGAAATAAAAAGGGGCAAATAAAGAATAAAAGTAATGATGTATTTTTCTGCTTTCATGTTTAATAGAATTTAACAAATCAGAAAAAAAATTAGTTGCTACACTTCAGTTTTACATCTAGATAAACATCTGAATGCATTTAGTCACTAATATAATTTCTTTTAAACTCAGCAAGTTATGAATGTGTGCTTTAGAAATACTTACATTTTTGTTCTTGATTTTAAGTCTTAGATTTAGATCATGCGGACCCTTTACTTGTTGTTGATGTTGTAAAACGTCATCATATAATCTGTTATACCAATTGTACAGCACTGCTGAAGTATAATAACTGGTTTCAATATTTTGTTAGTTTTTCATGAGTTTGGTTCTTCTATCAAGCTTAGATTGGAAGTTTTTAAAAGTTTTTATTTATATTTTACTACATTTCCCAATTTCCACAATAACAATCTTTTTTCTACACGTTTTCTACGATTTAAACACCCCCCTAGAAAGTGACTCGGACCTTAATCCTGAGAAAAAAAGACCCCAATATCTGAATATTCTCTAACTGTATTAGCTGAGAGGAATAAATACTCTCACATAACATAGAAGTTGTGATTTAATGCATTTGTAAATCATGCACCAACAACATTTTTATAGCATAATGAATGCAGAGGTAAAATCTAAAATTACTAATAATTATAATTTAAGTTTATTGGTCCCGCATTGGAGAAATTTACCTCTGCTTGGGTTGCCATCGTGGGGCGCCCGGGGATCAGTGTGGGTCTTGCTCAGGGAGCCAGGTGGCAGTCTGTGGGTGTGAGACTCGAACTCAGAACCTTAGAATTTCAAGCTTTATGTCCTAACCACTAGGCCACCCCTCCCTTTATAGGTAAAATCATATCAACTGTTGCAGTTAACATGGTGCTTTTCATCTAAAAAGTGTCTCTAGGCTTTTAAACATTAACCTCAAGCATTCCTCTGTCTGGGTTCTATTGTTTTATCGTGTTCTCACCTTGGGACCAACATTTTTAAAACTGGTATCATTTAGAGTATATTGATTCTTTCAGATATCACTGGATCAAAACCGCTGTGCATACAGTAACATAATACCCTTGGGATGTTGCGAGTAAACATTCAGATTTGGATAATGGAGAAGGACGATGAAAACGTAGTGGTAGTTTTATTTAGCTCTATTAATCTAAAGAATATAATCTTATTTACAGCATCAGAGTCAAACATGAGACGGCCTTCATTGAGCCTCTGCTGGATGTCTTATTAACCTTAAAACTCCTTTGGTTATGTTATTCAGCAGTCCATTTCCTTCAATGTAACTTTTTCTTCTATGTCATTTACTGATATGAAGGCGTTTAGAAGTTATGCTTTTATGAAAATAACTCCTGGTCAGATTATTGAATATGTTTATCAGCATTCATAGATTACCTGATTTTGAACAAATATTAGATCCTACTGCAAATGTGTTGCTATATGCTGAACAGGAAGGTGTTTGTGTGCTTGTTGTTACACAGACCTAAGCCTGTTCGATGAACTGGAAAACTTTGGCGATGCAGATGAGCTGCTTGAGGCCCTTGAAAATGGCGCCTATGTGAGTATTTTCATAGCTAATTTAGTAATGATGGTGCATCACTTTCATCATGTTGGCACACATTTTATAAAACAGAAACATCAATTCAGATTGATTAATTTATTTACTAAACTATGTTGATGCTATGCATTTGAATTGATGACATTTACTCATGGTTTGCATAGAGTTAATGTTTTATTTTTGGGTCCTTAGGTGGGCGAAGGTCACCCTCTAGATTTTGATATCGACATTCCCCCCTGGAATGAAACGGACACAAGCAGCACCTGCACAGGTATGGCAAAAGGATTAATAATCATGATTCCGTTATCTTCTGTCTCTATTTCAATACAGTGTGTATCACATGGTAGAGAAATGAAAAGAAATTATGTTTGTGCATTATATTTTTTAGTAAGTTAAAAAAAGTTTTTTTATATTTCTTTATTCAATAACTTTTTGTGGAAGGTATTGGAGTTGCATAATGTGTTTATTCCACTGTATTATTGCTTTAATTATCAATCTCCCGCTCCATTTCTTTCTACCATTCATGATCAAGACCCCAAGATACTTAAACTCCTCCACTTAGGGCAGAACATCTTCCCAACCCGGGATGATGAACAGAATCTATGACAAAGGGAAACATTGGCAGAGTCCAACTTTCACTAGAAAGAAAGGAGTCTGACCTAAATCTTGAAAATGTGAACCAGGCTCTGACACCGGTCATGGAGGGACCCATAAGCATGTATTAAAAGGCCTGGTATTCCAGATTCTCATAGTACCCTCCTCAGGATCCCAAGAGGGACACAGGTGAATACCTCTTCCAAGTCCATAAAGCACATTTAGACTGGTTGGAAAAAGGTTCATGCATCCAGGACCCTGCTGAGAGTTGTTCCACTGTGTTTCCTGACCAGAATTAAAACCCCACACCTCTTTCTGAATCCTAGGTTCAGCAGAACCCCAGAGATCATAGGCTTGGAGTTTGATCACTCACTCTGTAGTTAGAAAAAAACTCTACTGATCCCCATATAATAACTTCCACATGGAGATTTATAATTTTAACCAAGCAAGCCAGATTAATAATGTGTAGCATTCAGGTTTAGTTCTTAACAGTTTTAATCTGGGACTGCTTTCATTAAATCGGACAAGAGGAACATTTAGCAGCATCTTTTGGGCTGATTTGGCGAAGCGACCCCTAGTGCCCGCCCACCTACTAGTGTTTGGCTTTAGTCAATCATGGTAACAAAGGAAATAGCAGCAGACACCATGAGAAACCACAACTTATGCTCTTATGCTCTCACTGATCCTCTTTAAAAGATAAAATCATGGATTTTTCACAAAACCGATGTAAATGCAGCCGCTGCACGTACGTCCTCTTGCCCAGCCATGTTTATTTTGGTTCAGCTATGGGCTCAGCAGCTCTTGCTTTCGCCACAACTATATGTCCCGCCTTGAACCATAATAGTGAAGCATGATTGGCCAACGCATGATGGGTCAGACTCAAACCATTTTAGCTGTAATGGTACAAGATTGTTTTAGATGTGTTTGTGAACGAATAAATGGCAGGAGAAATCTGTTTGCAGTCCTGCTCACTCATATTGTGCAACCAGTGATTGAGCAAAGTTTCCAACCTCTGACTCTGCCTGTGCCTTAGATTCTATAACCATGTTGGTAAAGCCTGTTAAGTATAAATTGTGACAAAAGGAAGATAGGAGGGAATGAGGAAAAAGTGTAGCTTTATTTTCACCAGCATCCTCATTGCAATCATTTCCAGAAATATATATTTCATTTGCATGTAATTTTTCTAAGAGGCTTTATTGTTTGGAGTGAGATTTATGAAGGGGCTGCATGATTCTCCATGTTAATGACTAAACGGTTTGTGTCCTTGTGCATCCAGATGGCGAGGTGAGCGTGGACTCTCTGTCGCCTGCTCACACTCTGAGCTCCGTCCCCTCTCCTGCATCCATTGAAGCCCTGTCTCCCTCCTCCTTACATGTAAGAAGCTTCCCCCTTCCCTGTTTTCTGAATTTGAATCCGTATTTCCAATGCAAATTGTTTTCCAGTGGCTTTGCTTGTGAGCATGTCCGTATGTACCCTTTGAATGCAGTCAGAACAAAGGAAACTTTTTTTCCAGAAGGGGATCAAATGTTGGCAGCTGTTATTTAAAATTTGGGTAAAATCTGCTCAGTTTAGAAACTTAGTAACACAATCTGCAAACACCTTGTCAGATTGATGATTAACTATCTATGTAAATTGTGTGCCAGCCTCTTATTAAAGAAGGTGTCGACAACTTCAGATACATTAGCATAATTTATCGGGCAGATGTTAACAGTGTGTGTCAAAATAAGGGCAAGGGTTACATCATTCTTTTTTTTTTTTTTTTTTTTGTCCAACACAGTCTGCAGACATTTGTCTGCTAATTACCCCCAGAGTTCAAGGACACACTTTTGAGCTGTAGGCTTTTGAAAAGCCCTCATATTTTAACAGCAAATAAGCTTGAGGGAACATGAAGGTGAAAGTATTGATTCCAGCGCTGCTCTTGGTTTGTTTTAATACATCTATTTAGTGACAGTGCTTTAAGATGATATGTGTTTGCATGACACAGAGATCTTATATTGCATCTATTTCTCCATCCAGGATGAGGCACTATCCCCACAGTCGCAACTTTCCCCAATTTCAGTTTCGTCTGAGTCCAGTGGCTTTTCTGAAGCGTCTCCGCCACCCAAGAAGGTTGCAAAGAGGAGCACTCAGGGAACACGAGGTGAGGCACTAATGACATTCTCCTAGTTACAGATTTAAAGAACCATGCAGTCCTAGTTGTAGATTTACCATCAGCCTTCAACACAGCAGATCGTGACGTTCTGATATCCCACTGACAGCGTCGTGAAGCCATACAGGGTAATGAGTTAGAGTGGCTCAGATCATGCATGGCTGATAGAACTTTAGATTTAGTTCCTCCCCTGTTTGTTGGTGGGATCCTGCAGGGCTCAAATTTTACCTCTGTTTTTTACTGTTTTCATCTTCAGAAAGCATCATAATGGTGATAACTTGTCATCTTAAAAGCTGCACTGCTGCTCTGACAGCAGTCACATTTTAATCTCTGGGCCTTTTGAACTATAAAATCTAAATTTCTTCCATTATATTGTTTCGTCATTATGCCAGCCACTGATATTTGATATCATTTAAAGGGGCTGGATTTTTCACACATCACTGTTTCAAAACCGCTGGGCAAACAATAACATAATACCCTTGAGATGTTGTGAGTAGACTTTGCTATTTAGATAATAATTGAAGGACGACACGGAGCATGAAAACTTGGTGATACTTATTTCAGCTCTAATAACCTTAAGAATATAATCTTATTTACAGTCAAATATAAGACGGCCTTCATTGAGCCTGTGCTGAATGTCTTGGTAACCTTCAAACTAATTTTAGTCGTGTTAAATCACTATTCTGTTTCCTTCAATGCACTTTTCTGTTACCTGTGTTGAATTTAACTTGTTTAAAAGTTATTAAAACAGTCACTTTTATTGTTATGCAGATGATACTAAAGTGTATGTGCTTCTACAACATGACAACAACAATTCTGTCCAAGGCTTCAATGAAGGTATTGAAATATTATCAGGTTAAATAGCTTTTAACCTTTTAAATGTCCATACGAATAAGAATGAGGGGATTACTTTGAGTATCACTTTCACTGGTGCAGGGATAGTTGATTCATGGATTTTATACAATAATGAAATTTATCTTTAAGATAAAATTTTTGGGAAATCTCGATTTTCTTTTTTTTAATTCTGTTTCTTCTTTTTTTGTGTGCTTCTGTTGTTTGTTGTGAAACAAGCAAGTTTCATACTGGATTTAGTTGATTAAGCTCACCTCCCAGAGGGGATGGTTGAAGTAAAAAAAAGTATTTTAGTTAGTTTCTAATTTTTCATGTAAAACTTATGGTAGACAAATAAAGAATAATCAGATTAGGTAGAAGAAAATCTGATATAATTTTCTTTTAAGGCCATATCTCCTATTGTGAAAAACCTTGGCTATAAAATGGACAGCTTCTTTATTAGCCTGGATTGGCAGATTGGTTCAAATGTGAAATCCAAATCTTTTTTTACTTGAGGACACTGGCCAATATAAAGAGCATGTTATTGACTTAAAACAGTCATTGTTACATTTTTTTACTACTTTTTAGTAAGTCCATCTTTATCTCCAGTTGTTGCAAAATGCTGCCTCACTGCTTCTAACTGGAACATGAAAGATATGCCACACTACTACTCTTGTTCTCTGTGTGCGGATTGCCTACCCAATCAGGAATTGACATTGAGACGCTTGTTTATGATTCTTTAAATCGTCTTTCCTCTCCCAAGCGCTCTAAGCTGCTGTACCTGCACTCCCCTTCTCAGTTACTCTGATTAGATGACCAGCTGTTGCTGGAGGTGCCACTGACCTGATGAAAGCTCATGGGAAATTAAGCTTTTATCATTGCAGTTACCCAATTATGAAATACATTGCAGTAACAGACAGTTTCTTCATGAGACATTATAAATCTGCTGGTTTTTATCTACCTTTTTGAATTTTATTTCTGTCTCTAATTGTTTCTTTAAATCTTTTAATTTATTTTAATAAGCACGTCAGCGGTCCCTGACCGCTTATAATTTAGTATGCACTATAACAAACTCTGCTAAGATGGAAATTAAATAAAAGTTATTCTATTAGCATATGATAAGAGAATTTGTAATATATTTAGAATATATTAATTAGATTAATCGTGATGAACGATTATAGAAATAATCGTCAACTAATTTAGTAATCGATTCATCATTAAATGGAGAATAGAGACTGTAAAACATTTCTTTAGCTGAAAGAGCGACCCAGTTAGAGCAGTAATTATATCAAAATTGTAGAAAAATCTATCAACATTTTACATTTAAGTAAAAAAAACTTTTTTGTCTGAGTTCTATCCAGAATTCCTGAAGGGGAAAAGTTTGAATTTTGCCTGGTTTAATTTAGTAAAAAGTAATCAGGGAACCTTTTTCTATCCAATTATTAATCCATTAATTGACAAAATAATCGTAGTTGCAGTCCTAGGTGTGGATATTCTTGGTCAGATTTATATTTACCAAACAGCACAAAGATTTCTCTCCCTGTCATTTACAGTCTTACAAAATACACTATATTGCCAAAAGTATTTGCTCACCTGCCTTGACTCACATATGAGCTTAAGTGACATCCCGTTCCTAATCCATAGGGTTCAATATGACGTCGGTCCACCCTTTGCAGCTAGAACAGCTTCAACTCTTCTGGGAAGGCTGTCCACAAGGTTTAGGAGTGTGTTTATGGGAATTTTTGACCATTCTTCCAGAAGCGCATTTGTGAGGTCGCACACTGATGTTGGACGAGAAGGCCTGGCTCTCAGTCTCCGCTCTAATTCATCCCAAAGGTGTTCTATCGGGTTGAGGTCAGGACTCTGTGCAGGCCAGTCAAGTTCATCCACACCAGACTCTGTCATCCATGTCTTTATGGACCTTGCTTTGTGCACTGGTGCACAGTCATGTTGGAAGAGGAAGGGGCCAGCTCCAAACTGTTCCCACAAAGTTGGGAGCATGGAATTGTCCAAAATGTCTTGGTATGCTGAAGCATTCAGAGTTCCTTTCACTGGAACTAAGGGGCCAAGCCCAGCTCCTGAAAAACAACCCCACACCATAATCCCCCCTCCACCAAACTTTACACTTGGCACAATGCAGTCAGACAAGTACCGTTCTCCTGGCAACCGCCAAACCCAGACCCGTCCATCAGATTGCCAGATGGAGAAGCGCGATTCGTCACTCCAGAGAACGCGTCTCCACTGCTCTAGAGTCCAGTGGCGGCGTGCTTTACACCACCGCATCCGACGCTTTGCATTGCACTTGGTGATGTATGGCTTGGATGCAGCTGCTCGACCATGGAAACCCATTCCATGAAGCTCTCTGCGCACTGTTCTTGAGCTAATCTGAAGGCCACATGAAGTTTGGAGGTCTGTAGTGATTGACTCTGCAGAAAGTTGGCGACCTCTTCGCACTATGCGCGTCAGCATCCGCTGACCCCGCTCCGTCAGTTTACGTGGCCTACCACTTCGTGGCTGAGTTGCTGTCGTTCCCAAACACTTCCATTTTCTTATAATACAGCTGACAGTTGACTGTGGAATATTTAGGAGCGAGGAAATTTCACGACTGGATTTGTTGCACAGGTGGCATCCTATCACAGTTCCACGCTGGAATTCACTGAGCTCCTGAGAGCGACCCATTCTTTCACAAATGTTTGTAAAAACAGTCTGCATGCCTAGGTGCTTGAATTTATACACCTGTGGCCATGGAAGTGATTGGAACACCTGATTCCAATAATTTGGATGGGTGAGCAAATACTTTTGGCAATATAGTGTATATCAGTTTATCACGGCAATATTTTATGTCAGACGGAGTCAAACACAGCAATGAGATCCAGTAATACAAAAATAGATAGTTTTGAAAAAACCTGGATAGTTTTCTCTGCTGACTGTTAGAACTGATGTTTGAACTGTCAATGCTAATTTCCTGGCCTGAGCTAAATCCTGTCTTTTTTTTCTTTCTGTTTCATATCTTATCTCTCCCAAACCTTGAAATTCAAATATACCAACGCTTCAGCCAAACCTGCTCAGCCTGCTAAGAGGCCAATCCAGATGGGTCCAAAATTTTCCATCCAGCCCAAACCACTTATTGCAGCTATGCCCTTGGCTCCTGCAGCGGCTCCCTTGCAGGCCAAGACGATCATCATCCAGCCCCTGCAAACCGCCATGCTGCCTGTCGTCAAACCGGCTCCAGTGAGCATCCAACCGGCACCCTCTACAGGTCAGTTCTCACACAGCTTTTAAATTACACCCTTTACCAAGTAAATATCAGTTATTATATTTCAAAGAACGAAACACAACTATTTGTTCACAAAGTCATAACAATCCTGTTTAAAGGCGTTTCTGTATTTCTAATACTTTTTACATTGTGAATGCAGGAGTATATAGAATTATTTATCAAACTAAAAAGAAGATAATAAACTCAAAATATCTTTTCTTTTTTAGATTCCTAAATAGCCCCCCTTTGATTTGATTACTGCTTTGCACACTCTTGTTATTCCCTCGAGGAAATTCTCAAGATTGTCATCAGAAATGTTTTTTCTCACCGTATTGAAGGAGTTCAGAGTTTGCAATATTAATAAAGAAAAATCCTTAAAGGAGAAGATCGGTCAGTAGTTTATTTTTTATATGCCTTTGCCAGTTAATGTGGTTTTGATGAGAGGAAGCAAATTGTAGTTTTTTACAGAGCCAGTAGATGGCACTTTGATCTCAGTTATTCCTCATTAAGAAACCCGCTCTAGCTATTTCTTTTGGGGTCATAGATTAGAAACAATGAAGGCTGGTGTAAATACTTATGTCACTCCGTAAAAATTCAAAAAATATCCACTGGACTTGGTTTTCAAGATTTGAAGAAGTTTCGCCACCTCTCCAGGAAGCTTTCTCAATTCATTTATGTCACTGCACAGAGCCTTAGTCACATTGCTGTTTAAGGTCAGTTATGGTCAGGTATTGGCCAATATGGACAATGGGTTAGGGTAAATTATGTTTTTTTGATTGGAAGAGAAAGTCTCCAGCTGGATATTCATTGTGTTAAATATTTGAATTTGTTCGTTTGAAGGTCTGCTCAGTGTTTACAGCTAGATAAAGAAACTTCATTCAAAAATGAGATGTGTTCTGCAGGTTCTGATATATGCAGTCATTTATTCTGAAAGAACGAGCAAACAGAAGTGCTGGTTGCTCTTTCTTTTCATCCCACCCTTGTAAATTCTTCCTACAGATGGTGAATCTGGACGGAAAACAAAGAGCTGCCAGAACACAGATTTGTTAGCAGTTCTAACAAATGCTTTCAGTTGATTAACACGGCATTAGAGATGAAGAATGTTGGTTCTTTTTGAGTTAAAGCTGATCTCACAAGCTTGCTTGATCAGACACTATTGGTTTTGGTTCTTTATTCCTTCTTGGGCCTTAAATTGTGGGCACATGTTTGTTTGAGTTCAAGTACATAACTCAGGAATCTCTCAGTGTGGAATGTGGATGTTGAAAAGCAAAGGTCAGTATGCCAAACATCTTCACCACCTGTACTTTAAACACACGGAGCCCAATTAAATGCTGGGGGATCCCCAGGCTGATGGGATTTAGAGGGACTTGGGTGGTATGATTGACCTCAATACACAACCAGAGCTTCTAGCGTGTACATTCCCCAGACAGCCTGAAATTGTAGTTTTTATTTGTCATTTTATCTTAATACACCATGTTAACTGGATCTTTAATTGTTTCTTGTTGCTTTTCACTCCAAAAAGATTGGAGTATTGATAAAGGCATTTTCAAATAATTGACACAAGAGTTCTTGACTTGAAAAGGTGCTACATAAGTACAGGCTATTTTAAAGGAGAAGTTCGGTTTTTTACACTTTAAGCCCATTTTCTGTAGTGTCCAGGATGAAATCGAATGATCGACACCAAAAGTTTGACAATTGGTCCTGTCTCTGCTTTTTGGCTCATTTAGAATCACCCCCTGGCTGCTTTAGAATAGCTTTCATAGAGCATGTCCGATAATGTCCTTAAAACAACCTTAAACGTTCTTTTTTTAAAATATGCTACTCACCGTGTCGTCAGCGCTGTTCAATGACGTTCCAAAAAAAGTTTCGTGAAGAAAAACCGTTCCTGTAGTGTTTTATTTAGCATTTTGTAGTGCAGTCGTGGGTGAGCGGTTAGGGTGTCAGACTTGGATCCCAAAGATTACCGGTTCGACTCCCGACCCGCCAGGTTGGTGGGGGGAGTAATTAACCAGCGCTCTCCCCATCCTCCTCCATGACTGAGGTACCCTGAGCATGGTACTGTCCCGCCACACTGCTCCCTTGGGGCGCCATTGAGGGCTGCCCCCTTGCACGGGTGAGGCATAAATGCAATTTCATGGTGTGCAGTGTTCACTTGTGTGTGCTGTGTCACAATGACAATGGGAGTTTCCCAAAGGGCTTTTCACTTTTTCACTTGTAAATCCCATTGAGTTCTGTAGGAATAGTCAATATTCCCCTGCCACCGGAAACGGAAATGGAGCCTGTTTACACAGTTGTAGTCTTTTCGCTTCACTCTGTGTACTCCGACGTCGAGAATCAAGAATCCACCTTTCGTATTCCATTTTCAGAGTTTTTTTAAGTGTTTAACAGAGACGTTAGCACCTCGACGTCGGAGTACACAGAGTGAAGCGAAAAGACTACAACTGTGTAAACAGGCCCCATTTCCGTTTCCGGTGGCAGGGGAATATTGACTATTCCTACAGAACTCAATGGGATTTACAAAATGCTAAATAAAACACTACAGGAACGTTTTTTCTTTACGAAACTTTTTTTTGAACGTCATTGAACAGCGCTGACGACACGGTGAGTAGCATATTTAAAAAAAAGAACGTTTAAGGTTGTTTTAAGGACATTATCGGACATGCTCTATGCAAGCCATTCTAAAGCAGCCAGGGGTGGATTCTAAATGAGCCAAAAAGCAGAGACAGGAGCAATTGTCAAACTTTTGGTGTCGATCATTCGATTTCATCCTGGACACTACAGAAAATGGGCTTAAAGTGTAAAAAACCGAACTTCTCCTTTAATTCGGTGTAGACAATCATAACGAAAATGGAGAAAAGAAACACCCAAGTTACTATTCTCTTCAACTTGTAAGATGGTTTGCTTCTTGTGACTTTCAAAGTATAAGAATGACTAAACAGCTTAAAACTGAAGCTCCCTGGATGCATAAACACTAGACGGGTGCATGAGGAGCAAGAGGAAAACTACCAGGGAACAATAGCATTAGGTGGGCATGTCACAAACATTGGCATAAAGGACGACCAGTCGATAAGATGATTACCCTGGAACTCAGACCTGAAACTCGGACGGTCGTCCACTACGCCTTTAGCCATTAGATAAAGAAGCCATCGTGTTTAGCAGTTAGCATATTAAATAAAAAACAAATAAATACACAAATAAATTTAATTATCAGAATCATGGAGGAGAGTTACTTTTAGTAATTGTAGTGAGCAGGTTTGAAATTGCTGTTTATCTCTGGGCACATAATTAAAGAGGATTATTGGTCTATTTGTTTAGTACAGGAATATTAATGTTTGTTATAATTACTGGTCAGAATGGTGTACTCCATTTAGTAACTTGCTCAAATATTGGTCTCAAACCACCAACTTTGCAGAAAATATTTGAGAAATGTCGACCCTTTTTCAAGTTCAGTTCACTGATGTTCAGTAATAAGATGTGGTCTTATCACTCTAACTTTCAGTGTAGCTCTGCTCATAAATCTGAACTGTTCCTGATGCAGAACAGCAACCCACCCACCGACATTATCTATAGGATAGAGCCAAGCTTTGACTGCAAGCACTTAGAAGAATACGGCATGTTTTAATCCTTAAAATGTAAAACAAAATGAGCTACCTAACATTAAAGGTATAAAAAGTTGAGCTTTCCATGAAGACCAAGCTTCCTCACCCACCTGGTTAAACAGCGCAAATATTTGTGGTGCATTTACCATTAACCAAATTCCAGGAAATTCTCCCCCATGCTTGTGATCACACTGTTGGTGTAAAGTGAATGTTGAGTAAAGCTTGGGATTAAAAGATGTCCCCCCTCTGTGTCTTTCCCCCTCAGGTCATTCTATAGTGCTGTCTCAGCCCAGCCAACTACTCCAGATCCAGACTCCACAGGCCGTCCCTGCTAGTGTGGTTGCTGTGCCAACACTCAACCAGGACAAGCCTGTTCCGGTAGCTGCTCCCCCGATGGTTTCTGTCACGCTTCGGACCCCTTCCTCAGACGAAGATGTAAGTCACACATTTTTGAGTTGTTGGCAGAAAGGAACAGAAAACACACACTATTAGTTTAAGATCTCTTCAGCGTGAGATCAAACATGATTAGAACTGCTGGGGACAAATAATTCGTCCACATGGTTTGATAACAAGCATCTCCTAAGACTTGGTCTAAAGGGCTCATTATGCTTGAGAGTCCACACGGAAAACGAGCCGCCAGTTAGAGCATCTTTAGCTTTTATGTACATTTATGTACTCTGTGCGGCTATACCCATCTGGCCGGCTCGGGGGCCACCTTGATTAACTTACAACTTAATCAAGGTGTTCCAGAGGGACAGTCTTTTATTTCCTGGAGTTTGGACGTCATACACGCGCCACTTTGTTTTTAAAAATAGAAATATAAAAAATATAACCGCAGATGTCTGGGGGACAGTGATTCGCCTACATGTTATGAATGCTGGCGTACAATAAAGAATAAATTACGAATTACGAATTAGTTTGTGCCTTCAAGAAGTTGCCCATAGGAAGACGTTACTTGGACATAACCTAACCGAATATCTTCAGAACAGCTTCAAATGACACAAAACTCATATGGGTGAGTAGAACATGATGTAATAACGTAAAATCAAGGGCCACATGTAAAAAAAAAAAAAAAAAACTGCGTTCCCCTTTAAGCTTAGGGGAACAATACAAGTCTCACATTCCCATCACATTAGTCCTTATAACAAACTCCAAAAAGGTTACATCTGTCTTTGTTTTTTGACATTTTCTTAGGTAAGCGTCTTTCACTGCTGTCAAAAATGCAGCCAAGTTTCAAAAATGCAGCCAAGTTTGAGGATGTAAGAAGGTTTTAGGAAAGGATAAACCTGATTAAAAGACGTAAACGGCCAAATGAAATGGGAAGACATTACATCTCAGTTTGTGCATTTAAGATGCACACATGGCTCCATTTAATATCACCGATTGTTTTGTCCTCAGTGGATCAGCATGTCTCTCTTTCTCAGGTTTTTTCTCTCGGTCATAGGAGCTATTATACAAGCAAGGTTGACTTTTAAAGCTGTTTCCTCACCATCAGTCTGCCAGTGAGTTTTTTCATTAAATATATGATGCCTTCAGCTGTTGTTTATGTATGGGCATGCAGGGTCATGCTCATATGCCCTTTCTTGCAGCTGCACAGAATTAAAGCTTCCAAAAATGCTCAGTTACTCCCTATGTAATGTACGACATTTTGATTGTCAAGCTCACACTGGATAGATCAAGTCCAACACAAACTCATCAGTTGGGATCCTTTTCTTGTATTTACTTTAATTTCAAGAACCATTAACTTTTAAGTTCTGCTTATAATGGGAAAATAGAATGCTGATGGATATGCAGTCAAACAGTTTCTTTATGTTAATGATTGTGTTTTTCCAAATGGCTAGACAAGATTTATTACATTTCATGGACCAGGGCCTGTCAGCGGAGACACTAATGAATACAGACCAGGACCATTTTATTATTTTAAGACCTTGATAGAAAACAGCTCCACCTCCTTAAAAAAATGAAGCACCAAATAAAAATGGTAAAACAAGGGCTTGTAAATGTACAAATCAATTTGTGCGTTTGTAGAACCAAACTTTAGCACCAATTTGAAAACTTTATCAAATCAGCACCAGGAACTCTAAATTTCAACTCTAAAAAAGTGTTTTAATACCCAAAAACGATCTAGAAATACCAGTAAGTAAAAACTAAGTGTATCTCCCCTTAATTTGAGTAGGTGAATAAGATGACTTGTCAATGGAATAGGTATTTTTACTTTAATTTTAAATGTAAATTGCCTTGTTCTATTGGCAAAGTGACTCACTTAATTAAAGAAAATTAAAGAAAATGCACTTATTTTAAGAGAAATTACTTATTTAAATTAAAATTTTTTGCAGTGTGACAAAAATCCAGAATAAAGTTAAACAGATTTTAAGCTCCAAGGTAATGCAATAAAATTTTGGTTGAAGTATTGAGGAAGCTGAAGATAAACTGTTATTTTTTGCCAAAGCATAATGGACCATAAATATGTTCCTACATTTAATTCTAGTAGGAAATCAATGTTTTTTCTTTTTTAACAATCAGTTTTACCTTGAATGTTGCATCTGTGTGCACAATAAGTGTGTAAAACATTTTTAAATGTAGAACTGTACTTGTAATGGCTTCAATCTTTAAAACTAAAAAGCCAAATTACAGTCCATTGGTCAGTTTCATCCTATCGATTCTTTCCACAGATGATCAGCTCATATAATAAAGTTTTTTTTTTTCAGTATTGATTAAAAGGATTAAAACTTTAAACTTCCAGTTTTAGTCAGAAACGTGCTCACCGAAACTTGTACTTTATGCTCTTTTTTGAAGTCAAAGTAAATCAGAAAAATGCTTGGAAGGTGGATGACTTTGCAGTGTCCAACACAGACTCTTTTCCTCTCTTGTGTTATAATCAATAACTATTAGAAACAGATTTTGTTCGGGTCTTAAACGTCAAGTCAGACTTCAGAGGAAACCTGGAATCAGTATCAAAATGTTTTCTTGTCAGCTCAAGCTTCAGCAGTAAAACATGAACCTATTAAAGGCTTTTTACACATTTTATATGGTTGTTAATAAGTGCAAAATAAGCTGTATGTCTTATAGAACCTGTGACAATGTCATTAGACTTAAATGGGAGTGAAAATAATCCACTAATGATCATTATATTTGTCTCTGCTTAGTTTGTTTATAGGATGGGTGGATTGACTGTCATGTCAAAGTAAAGAAAGGCAGTAACAATACATCTATAAAAAAGATTTAGTTAACACTTTGTGTTTAGTTTATTTAAAGTTGTAATGCAGCTAAGATTTCCTTTTATTATTCACTGATCTCACAATGCCTCATCAGCTGCAGGGACTGTTCCAGACAACAAAACTGTCAAATAATAAACTCCCCAGTCTTCAGTTGTAATTTATGATGCTTGCTTGCAGTCATTTCTCTCACATTTGTTTTGTCAACGTTTCAGTTTCTTTTTTAAACATTTCTTGTTTGGTTTCTTTCTCCTGTCTCTTCTTGGATATTTGTGTTCATTGTCCACACCTAACTTTCTAATGCCATGGTAACTTATCCGATGTTCTTAAAGTGGGTAGAAATGGCCAACAAAGCAGAGTAAAACGCTCTCATTGCCCCTTATTATCACTGTATAGAGCTGATGTCCTGGCCTGATGTATGGGAAAGGGAATACCTTCAGTTATGACCTAATAGCACAGTGTTTTGTTTTTTTAGCCTTTTGTAATTCATCATGAGCCTAACAATGCTGGAATTTCTCCGGTTATTGTGGGTATAATCGAGTGTGGAGACACACTTTCCCTGCCAAATCTAGAGAGTGATGTGAAGGAATTTCAAAACCCCGAGGCCAAAGCAAATACACCCCCCTCCCCGCCATTGTTAAGATACGGTCAGTAACATTTACAATGGGGTGATAAAGGGGGCGGGTCTGAGCACTGAGAAGGGAAAACATCGGAGGGAATTGGTTCATGCCAAAGGGAAAGCTCTGAAAGCACACAGAAATACAGTTTGTGTCTCAGTTGGTGGCCTTTTGAGCAGACGCAGTGATGTCACTAAATGTTCAGTCAGAGAGCCTGTTGAGCTTATTGGTGTCGTGTGAGAGTGCATGCTTTCTGTGTCCTCCACAGCTGCGCTAACTTGCTTTAACTTGGCTGGCTGCTACACTTGTAAAATGTCTCTTAAAGATGACATGCATAAAACAGGTGCTGCAGCAGGCTGTCATCCTATGGATGCCTATGGGTGTCATTGCTCCTGTTTTTTTTTGGGGGGGGGAGGTTGTTCTTTTTCCACAAGTACTATATTTTGGCCTCTGTATGTCTGAGAGTTTAAACGGCTGCTAATGATTACATGCTTCAGACAGGTGTTGCGCAGTCCGAGGCCCTTTGCGACAGCTGTAAACAGCCATCAGGGGATTGGGTCAGTTTAATGTAATAGGCTGCTACGCAACTAACGATTACACTGTGTGGAATCGAGCCGTTTGGGTGTTCGAGACCAGAGGGGAAAATTAGAATGGAGATAGCCTGGGAATTTCTTAAGCAGGCCAGGATTGTTAAAGGAAACTTTATATTAATCTCAGAGTTTGAAACTTTATATTTATATATTTACACTTTTGTCGGATGCTGGAATAATTGTATTAAATAACTGTCCTTAAGACAAAGTAATGGACATTTCACATAAAAGTTTAGATTGTTTATAAAAAGAACTGTTTAAAATAATCACACAATTGATTATTTAGAGATTTAGTGAGAATAGAAAAAAAATTGTGAATTTTATACAAACATAAACTCAGAAATGATAAGTTAGAGCTGCTTATCAAAAGAAGAGGATTCTCCAAACCTTTTATTGGGGTTTGTTTTATAAAATAAATGAAAACAACAATGTTTAAGTACTGACCCATTTAAATCCAGTCTTAATTTAAAAAAAGGCATTTTTTTCATTTTCAGCTTACCTGAAAACCTAAAATATATTCTTAAAATTGCATGTTTTTATGCAAAAAAATTAAAATAAAAAAATCCCAATAAAAGCCTATAATGACAGTTCTGTTTAGCAGTCACTCTATCATTGAAAATTGATAGATACAGAAAGAAAATCCTTGAGGTTATTGGACAAAAATATCCATACAACAAATTTTTCCGAATATATTACCCAATGATTGAGGGACAAACACTCAAATTTACTATTGGTCTGCATGTTGTAAAAATTTTGACTGTTGGTAGTAATAGTGATGAGCAGAATTAGAGCAAGTAAGACGTTTGGGTTCAAATGTGCTTTTTCTGTATGCCTAGCTGTTTTCCTTCCAATGAGGTTGCAATCATTTCCAAATGCAAGGAGCTTTATTGAAACAGGCCACTTTCCGTACATTTATCCTCCTCCCCTTCACTGTTGAGTCGATGTAAAGCTCCCTGTTACCTTGGTAACCATTTACTTGTAGTGTTCCCAGGCTGGGGCTGGTGGCAGGGCTCCCACTTCTGGGCTAAGAGACATGGGGGTTTCTCAGGAGACAGAAAACAAATACAGCAATCCAGATACCTTGATCACCAGTGGGTTTATAAGGCCTGAGCTTATGGAGGCTTATTCTAAGGAAGGGGATTGTGTTAGAGAAAGCTCCTCCAATGAGGGGTCTAGATGGACGGGTTTTATCTTCCCTACGAGTTCATCCTAGTATACTTTTGCATAAAATGACTAGATTTCATTTATAAAAAAGGTGAGGTGGAAAGATTTACAAAGCATGGATTACTACTTATTTGTTTTTATGCATAGTGCTTTTTAACCCCTTTTAAATAAATATTTGCATTAACAAATTTGCTTTCTAAATAAGATTTATTGACCCTGTGTGTACAGATGATGAAAGCAGGGATTAAGCTTGGCCATGGCTGATCTTCGTCCAGATCTATAGCATGCCTTCAGCTCCCTGTGTTTATGTGTCTTGGATGTGGATCCAATCCTTACGGGGCGACGCACCACATAAACACATCCTACCCTCACATTTTAACAGTCATCACTTAAGAGCTTCTGACCTCTGAGAGTCTTTTATAAATGTTCTATGCCAAAGCATAAATGAGTGCACATTAGGCCTGTCTGTGACACTTGTTAGAGAGGGGTCCATAATACAACAAAACATCTTGGACATGTGTGTTTAATATTATTTCACTGTAATGCATGGAAATAGAAGAAGGTGAAACACTGTTGGGTTGTTTAGCCTCTTTAGTGTTAGCTTTTTTAACTTTAACTTTATAATCCATTCATTTCTTTGTAAAAATCTAAAGTCAAGTCCTTAATTTACATGTCTTTCAATATTCCAATTATTTTTTTTTTTTGTACACACCCACCAATCTGGGATGGCTGCGGTTCAGGCCGTCTGTGTTGGAGGAACATTTAGCACATTCACCAGGAATGACAGGTGGGACAAGTTTACTAAAATGTAGACCATTGTTAGATGTTTACAAAGAACAGATCGCTTTTCTTTGCTCCTTTTATAAATGAGAAATTGTCGCTATTTTTAAAACAGAGTCAATTGCGGTATCAACAGCTGAGTCCTCCAGAGTAGCCATGTTTCTAATGCTCCGGCAAGACCCTTCTGACTGTCGTCATTCCTACATGTCCTGCCCCAACAAACACTGCTGGCATAGCATTGGTCTGACTGGTTGTTACGAGACAGACATATTCAAGAGGGATTTGTTTTGAGACTGAAAACTCAGATCCTGCGGCAATCCAGCTAGAGGCACAAGGTTAGGCCTAAGTGTGTTAAAAGCCTAAAAACGAAATGGGGTAGAAAATCCTGAGGAAATTTAGCTTTTTTTTAGCCTTCATGTGGAGAAAAACTAACAATATTATTCTTATCAATCAAATCATCTGTATGAAACATGGTGGTGGTAGTATCATGATTTGTGTTGCTTTTTTAAAGCTGTTTTTCAGAATAAAGGCAAAAATTAAACCTGTTACTTGATGACATTTTTGTCTTTCCACTGCATTACTTTCTGTTGTTCCTTTCACATAAATAAATTGGGGGAATTTGTTATAACCTGCAAGTGGAAAAAGATAAAAGCCACTGTGTGCTGTCACCCAAAATACATTTAAAGGAAATTTGTAAACTGTTTTCTCTCTGTGTTCTCATTCCAGACCAAGTTCTCCCAAAAACAGCAACGAATGATAAAGAACAGGGAGTCGGCATCGCTCTCCCGCAAAAAGAAGAAAGAGTATCTGCTCTCGCTGGAAGCTCGTCTCAAAGTAGCTCTGTCTGAGAACCAGGCGCTCAAGTGTGAGAACGGCAACCTGAAGAAGCAGCTGGAAGGCCTCCTGAGCGAGGTAAGGAGTGAAGTTGGATGGAAAATGAAAATCGACAAGAGGGGGCAAAAACTATGTATTAACATGTAATCCATGTCATGTTTCCTCATTCTCTTTGTAGAACTCTGTATTAAAAGCAACAGCACCCAAGAGGAGAGCTGTGTGCCTCATGGCGGTTCTGGTGTTCCTGGTGCTCAATGTAGGACCAACCAGGTGAGGGTCGGATAAGTAACATCTGCTGTCCTTCATCTGTGCCATACAGCTATTGAAGTGGGTAGCTGCAGTTTTGTTTGGAACTAGGGGAGAGACAATGATGGCAGAAACTGGAGCTGAAATGTTGCACTGAAAAAATATCTAATGAGTAAGAATGTCTTAAAAAATGTGTATTTACCCTTAATTTAAGTAGGAAAATAAGTTGATCTGCCAATGAAATTAGCATTTTAAATGCAAATTTTCTTTTTCTATTCGCAAAGTGTTTCTCTTATTTCCCCAATTGAAGAAAAAATGCACTTATTTTAAGAAAAAAATACTTAGATTTACATTTTTTGCAGTGTATACAAAGTCCCCTGATGACTGTAACACTATTTGTGTTTGATTCTTTTAGAAAACCAAACGGGAAGACCCATGACTCATTGAGATTCTCCCTCTTTTTGGAGGTTAAACAGAACAAGCCTAACGAAAACAGCATAAAACAAAGAAGGATTCTGTTGCCTTTTCTCTGCATCAAAAGTAAAGGTTCAGGGATTTTGTCAGAAACAGGCTCAGGGTTAAAATTTATAGTTTTTTTATTACAGTATTTCTCCACTTCAGCGATAAGTGGCATTAAGTTCAGGGAAATGTGGTTGCTTCAAGTGGTCTAATTGGAAAATACAGAACAAATGCAGCTTGCCTGTTCCACACTGCCTTTGTTTTCAGACTGAATGTGAGCTCGCAAAAATGTAATGGCTAAAAAAAAAAGGGTTAAAAAGTGAGAGAGAGAGTTCAAAAGTGTAAAATATTTTATTTAGCTGTTTTATGTGTTGCTTGTTATAATATTGGTGACAAATTTAATTTTGTAATAAAAAACCCAAACTGGGTTTTTAAAAAAAAGCAGAAATCTTGATTTTTGGCAGCAGATGGAAGGATTGTGTAATTCCTCAAACTAAAGCTCAGCCTTCAACTCAACAATAACGAGAAATTCTGTTTTCATTTTGCAAAAATGTTTTCCTCCGGGAATTTCCTTTTCCACAAAGATGTAAGCATTACTTGTTGGGAGTGATGATCTGCTTGCCTTCCAGGGCTGGAAAAGTGTTTTCTGGTTCTTAGAAATGAAGAAGTTTTTCCTTTTTGATTTTAGCTGAACCGTTTTACATTTTGCCTTTTAAAACTACAAATATAAACAGATTTTATTTACATTTTATCTGATTGATAAAATGTAAAAAAAATTAAAATGTGGTTTACATTTCTATTATGCGGAAGAGGATTAGGGCCACTGAAAAAAAAAATGTTTACTGATTTTTTTTCCATTTTATTTCAGTATAGTATGGGAAAAAAAGTCCGAATTCTGAGATTAAAGTCAGAATTCTGACTTTTTTTATTGTCAGAATTCAGTCAGAATTCTGAGATTAAAGTCAGAATTCTGAGAAAAAAGTCAGAATTCCGAGATTAAAGTCAGAATTCTGAGAAAAAAGTCAGAATTCTGACTTTAATCTCAGAATTCTGACTTTTTTCTCAGAATTCTGACCCTAATACTCTTCCGTACTATTATTCTTTATTCTTATAGCTGTAAGAAAATCTAAAGCAAAAGACAAGGACAGTCACCCAATTTTTCTGCTCTACAAATATGGTTGTGATAACTTGGAGCTAAATTAACTTTGAAGCTACCTCTTAAGATTTTGAAATATATGGATCATGTTAATTGTTCTGGTTTTGGTTTTTAACCCTTGAAATTTGTGCTTAAAAGTCTTGAAAATTAATGCAGGATATCTGTATGCCTCAACTTTTCCTTTTAGAACAGATTTTGGAATTTGCTTTTGTTTTCAAAATAATCTCTTGTTTTTTCATTTTGAAAAATGGTTTAATATTTTTTGCATTAGTTCTCTGACTGCTCCTAACCTACTTTATCCGTCCTCCTGTGTCGTCATCAGTTTGTTCCAGAGCAGCTCCCTCTCCAACTTGGACGTTGCTCCCATGCAGCACGCTGGCAGACACCTGCTCGAGTTCTCAGCTGAGGCTGAGGCTGACGTGGTGCTGGGTCCCGAGCTCACCAGCAGACCTTCAGAGCTGCCGGACAGGTGTGTGTGGAGCTAAACTGCAGCCGCATAGCTTAAATCTTTGTGTTTACCCAGTGTGTTGATAGACACAGGATGCACCTGTGCTTGGGCTCTGTCTGACCCTGTGCGGCTAATTATGCCATGTTGAAACAAGCGTGCAACTGATTATCCAGTGTCAGCCTCTTGAAAGGCTGCAGACCTACATCCAGACGGCTGGTGCTCAGAGTTTGAGTAACAAGGTAGAAAAGTGGAACCAGGCCTTGTTTGACATTGAGCCTTGTGTTGATAATAACCCTCCATCTCTTCTTTAAATGACCTAGAGGCGAAGCAGGCATGTTGACAAATTGTATAAATGTCACTTTTTATGGCAAATAAAAAAAACCTGCATGTATTTTGCAAGGTGGTCATGTTGTTTCTCTGCAGCATAACCAGCAGAGTTGTGGGTTAGATATCTGAGCAGAGTTTGTCACATGTTAATGCACACCATTCACCAGTGTCAGGTTTCCCAGCAGCATTTAACCAGCTTAGACAGTAAGGTACACAACAATCTTTACTTAAAGGAGGAGGGGGGGTGTAACAGAAATTAGGGTCCAACTGAATAGAAAGGTATTAAAATTATAATCAGGGATCTGACTTGTTGTATAGTTGAGGTATATGTAGTGTACTTAACGGCTAACATTAAAAGCTAAGGAAAGGATTATGTTATTTTTTGCATTTTTCTTAAAAAGGAGCATTTTTGAGGGGGGGTTCAGACTGAGCTGTCTGCATCAGCACCTCAACCATCTGAATCATTCATTCCAAGAAGGTGAAATGTTAGGTGGAGTTATGACGAAGTCTGCTGCTGATCAGGATTGTTCCCTCATTGTATAAACCCATTTCACACTGGCTGAAAAAGCTGTTTAAACCTGGGAACAATCTGCTTTTAGTAGCAGTGAGAACAGCTCACTGACGCGTGTCTACCCAAGTCAAACGACTAAGCAAGTGACCTGGGTTAAAATCGCTTCGGCTCTGATCAACAAGCTTTGGGAAACGCCAGAGCCGGGTTGACCTGCTAAATTGCATAACACCATTGAACACACCGCACAGACGTCAACACACCGCACCATTCACTTCTGGTGAGAGGGACAGATATAAGAGCAAAATAATAACGAATAATATCCATTATTTACTTCCCTGATTTCGACTGCTCACCCAGCGTGGTTTGGTCATCAGACACACGGGTGTGGAACAGTCCTGTCTGAAAGTAGCACCAACATTTCTTTAGTGTTTTTGTAATGGCTCTGTGTTTTTGTGCTTGTCTTTTAGAGAAGGGTCAGCATCTCTGCTCTGTTCAGCGATTGGAGCTCTGCAGCCTTAATCAAAATGACATTAGCTCCATGTTTACACCTCAGGGATCCCCTGAAAAATGTCATTTATTATATATTATTAAGGTCCTATTCATCCATCCAAGCATTTTCCCGCCAACAATTCTTCCCCCTGTCTTTGCATGTTTTTTTCTGTGTTACTAACCATACATCCGTGTTTTCTTCATTATTTTATCCGTGTATCTATCCAGGCTGTTTCCTCACAGATTTGGGATCAACTATGCACATTTAGCAAACTATCCTTACATGCAGCATTTATTCTAACTGTGTGTTATTTACCTTGTGTTTTTTTTACCCCCTAAGCTAATAGGGTTTGTCTGTCTTGTTGTTTCAGATCTGAGGACAAGGCGCTGATGGTTGTGAAAAGTCCTGACTTTCTTAGACCTCCTCCCCCCTGCCAGCCTCCTGTTAACAGGACCAAGTGCATTGAGTAAGAAATGGAATATTGTTCCGCCCTCCCGCACGTTAGCTTTCTCTCATTCTTTTCGCACGAATCCGCAAAAATCATTAAATTTTCACTGTTTTAACTTGACAGGTTGGCTCATGAATTGAGGGGTTGGGTCCATCGCCACGAAGTACAGCAGACCTATTCCAGACGCATGAGTAACAGCCACCATAAAGCCATCAGAAACATTCTGGTAATCTACAACAGCTTTATGTTAGGGGCAGAAATCTGGAGTACACTGGCCTTTATAAGAAACCAACCTAAAATATGAAATGAAATATTATATATTCTGCAAATTACACCTACTTTGTTTAGCAAGCTGTGATTTACAGTGTCAGTTATTTATGCAATCTAGATACTTCCTCTCAGCACCTTTTTTTTGCCACCCCTAACATCGTCCCCCCCTTTGGTGCCTTTCATCTCTCTCTGTCGGCCAGAGTTTAATCCTGCAGCCCTGAGAAAGTAAACATAACACTTCGAAAGGAGCTCTAGGATTAGTGCCCCCTGCTCTCTTTTCCAACATTTTATTCCAGTTAATCTGCCACAGCAAGCGTAGTCTCTCGCAGCTGCCCATGTAGAAGAGACATTGTTTAGTTACCTTCAAAACAAGTAGATCAAATTAGGTCACTGAGATTCATGTGATTAGTGGTAAAGCTTTTAAAAAGCATTCGCATCGAAGTGATTTTTGCCCTCTGATGTAAGGAGGAATCATTTCCTTTGGGGTGTAATTGTTTTGCCTCATTAAAATGTGTTTCAGTCTGCTCTTATAAAATAAAAAAGGTTTATTTTAGGCTAATCTTGCAATAATGTGCTGCTTGCTTTTTTTATGGAATCCCTCTTGATTTGTGATATAAATATTGAAACTAATTCTGTTTCTTTTCTCAGCAGAAAACGGAAAATAAGGAAGATGATCTCGTTCAAATAGTCCCAGTCCCATACGGAGAAAGAGCAGAGAAAAAGTTAGTTTCTTTATCTTTTGTCAGCTGATATGTTTAGCTTTATGTGTGTTTTATGTTTTGTGATTAAACTTTAGAAGTTACAATCAGACATTTTTTCCATTCCTGGAGTTTTTCTTAACAATCTGCTTTTTTACACTTCACGGTTAATGGTGAAATATACTTTTCCAATCCAGACAAATCCTCCTGTCATATTCTGCCCCTGCTACTCGTTAATCATTAATCAGGGTTAATGTCTGTGTCTCTGTAATCCATCAACAGAAATCCAGGCAATGAGGTGCAGATTTACTACGCGCCTCAGCACACCTACAGTGACTTCTTTGATGAGCTCAATCGGCGTGCAGACACTTTCTACGTGGTGTCCTTTCGCAGGGTGAGTAAAACCGGAGCAACCATCCGCTTCAAACGAGTAAAAATAACTCCTGTCTCAAAAGCAGGATTAGATCAACAGCTCTATTTAAAAATGTTCTGCTCAGATCAGTTTTGTAATCAAAGTATTAGGAAAATTACCTTGGATCCTACTTAGAACTCCTATTTTGCAGTAAAGGGTTCGCTAAAGGTAATTTTTTTGATATAAAAGAACAAATGTTTTATTAGTACTTTACTTTGCTGCTTCTAATATCTCAGTAAACTGCACTAGCATTTCTTAGTACTTTCCTTAAACCATTTAGTTAGCATGTGATATTTAAGCATTCCTTTTTACTCATTTAGTGCTCAGAAAGCCAAACAAAATCTTCATATTATAGGAAATCTCCAATTAAGTTTTAACTAAGCAACAAAAAGCACAATTTCTGATTTCTTCTTTATATATAAAGAAATACATTTTTTTTTTTTTTCAGAATGAGATTTACTTTTCTTTCCTTTTTGCTTGAAATTAGAAATCTGCAGGTTCAGATGGATCCTGGAGCTGAAAGACAATAGCTACGTTTACATGGACACAAATAATCGGATCGAAGGCCTGATCAGATCAAAAATGTTTCATGTAAACATGTCAGACTGAAGATTCTAATCCGATTCGGTCCGATCGGAAATTAATTTAATTCCGAAAGAGAGAGGTGGTTTTTACCGAGCGCCATTCTGATTGGCGTCCATGTAAACACCCATTCGGATCTTAAGAGTAAAATAATCTTCACTGTGCATGTGTGCGACATCAGCGTGACGTTTTTCCGCCTTGTCGACAACAGGAAACCACCGGTCGCTCTCGCTCTTGTTGTGAACAACATGGCGGGAGGAGTCTAGGAACGCCGACTTACACACTCAAGTTCATTTAAAGCTGCAGGAAGCAGGAATTTATCCTCCTCCTCTTCCTCTTTTCTCTCTCCACAGCCCACTCGCTCTCCCACGCCGGTTCAATCGCTCATTCTCTACATTTTCTCTCGGACATTTCGCTGCCAAGCGCTTTTTTCCTCCTCTCTCCGTTTTTCTTTCCGCTCGCTCCGAGCGCATCGTTTGTCAGGCCTCCCAAAAACCAGACGCAGACAGAACTGCCAAGTTTGGTAGGAAGTTCTGCGCATGATTCAAAAGATTTAATCTGATCCAACGCTTGGTACATGTATACACACGTCATGATCGGATCATTTCATTTAGTGCCCATGTAAACAGAGATTTTGAATTTCCGATCAACCAAGGTTTGGATCGGATCGGGGAAATTTTGCGCATGTAAACGTAGCTATTAAAGTCTGATGAAGATGCAGCTTTCATAATTTGAAATGTCTTCTGAAGTTCACTGGACACCAAAAGAAATTCATATTAAAAAAAACGTTTTTGTAAACGTTTTATTTAGTGTGATCAAAATTTTGAGTAGAGCGATGAAAGATGACCTTTCTTTTATTGTATAACCACACCTGTTTGCCAGTCACTGAGTTTGACTCAATGTGGTTCAACAGTGAACCACTAAGGCCTCCATTAGATAATTAAGCTTTATGAGATTTCTTTAGTTTTCTCCTTCGTTTCTAGTAGGTAGCACTTTGTACTAGTGCAAAAACAGAAAATGTAACCATAATTATTTTAACATTGCTGTTATTATATGTAGATGGCATTTTGAAGCAAGATGAAAGTCAAGTTTATTGAATTGTTTTCATGATATAGGTATTGTGATATTCAAGAATAATTCTGCTGTGGCGGGTTGTCCCTAACCTTAAAAGCAAAATGGATTGTTGTGAGATTTGTGAATTCATAAACTCCCTAGAATGCATCTTCCCAGAAGCCAACAGATGCCTTGGCCTCGATACAGACAGGTACTCGTACTCGTTGTTGTCTCCCGCTTTATCCGGAACCGGGTCGCGGGGGCAGCAGACTAAGCAGAGACTCCCAGACTTCCCTCTCCGCAGACACCTCCTCCAGCTCTGTTGGGGGAAGCCCTAGGCGCTCCCAGGCCAGACGAGAGACATAGTCTCTCCAGCGTGTCCTGGGTCGCCCCCTGGGCCTCCTCCCGGTGGGACGTGCCTGGAACACCTCCCGAGGGAGGCGTCCAGGGGGCATCCCAAGAAGATGTCCGAGCCACCTCAACTGACTCCTCTCGATGTGGAGGAGAACCGGCTCTACACTGAGCCTCTCCCGAATGACCGAGCTCCTCACCCTATCTCTAAGGGAGAGCCCAGCCACCCTGCGGAGGAAGCTCATTTCAGCCGCTTGTATCCGGGATCTCGTTCTTTCGGTCATGATCCAAATTTCATGACCATAGGTGAGGGTAGGAATGTAGACCGACCGGTAAATTGAGAGCTTTGCCTTTTCGCTCAGCTCTCTCTTCACCACGACAGACCGGTGCAGCGTCCGCATTATTGCAGCAGCCGCACCGATCCGTCTATCGATCTCCAACTCCATTCTTCCCTCACTCGTGAACAGGACCCCAAGTTACTTGAACTCCTCCACTTGAGGCAGGAACTTGGAGGAGAGGGGGATACGTTTGGGACCAATGAAATGCAGTGACGTGTATGACGTCAACTTAAAAGCAGAAGGCACCAGGATTTTACCGCAGTACCCTCTATTTATTTTTGAAAAACGAGCTCAAAGACACGATGTGTGCCTTTGTGGATGGGAAAGATGTTTGGCCGTTTCTCCCGACCACTCTTTGGTAAGAGTTTGATTTATCAGTTAAATCCTCTAGTTGGGAAAATTGTGATGCATCACATCTGCTACTGCTGCTGTGATATGCTTAAAGCTCGACATAGGAGTCAGGTGCCATTAGGTGATTTAGCCGATCAGCTCGAAGAACTGTACTGAATGTCCCTCCCTATTGTGAAACGTTTCCATTGGAGCATTTCCAGATGGATGTAGAGTTTAAATTGAACTACACAGTTCAATCTGGCTTATGCCAGGTTAGGTTATCCCAGTTCAGCCTTACTTTTTGGATTTGTTTTTACTAGAATATAATGTTCTATGTTTGATTGTATCTAAGTGAAAAAAGAATGAGGCTTAGAATGAAAGGCTGTGTGGAAAGAAGCCCTTATAGGAACGCTGAAAGCAGCAGTCCAGGATAAGGTCCTGTTTCTCACTGTGAGAGTTTGTTTCTTACATCGCTTTATTGGCTGCTCTCACTCAGTTTATTTGTTTTGTTTCCTGGGTTCCTGTGTATGTGTGTTTGTGCATAAAAAATGTGAGCTGTTGGTTTCTCATATTGCTATTCTAAAACTGCCAAAGCTCTGGATTAAATTTAAATCTTGTTTAGATTAGGCCATTCACCACCAGGGCTGACTTGTGTTTCTTAAGGTGAAAATCCTTTGCAGCTGATAATGTCCGGTTAGCTTGTCTCCTGCAGTCGAGGTCCCTGATTTAATCATGTTGTACCAGGGTTGGGTCAGACAGTCAAGGTCAGTATGGGCAGTCAGGTCGACCACCTGCATCTCTATGACGTTACAAAATGGGGTGATTCAATGGAATGAAAAACGGGAAGAAAATATGAGACTCCTGTTCTTTTGTTTTGCAGGACTTTTTGTGTTGTTTTAACATCAGTACCTTTATGTAAAACTGTAAAGCGATGAGGTCATGGAGTCACCCCTGACTACTATTGTGTTTTATGTCATTAAGTCTGATGGAAATTCCATCTGTTGTGCTAAGAGCAGCAGCTTGCACGTCACTTTCACAGGTTCGGCGTTAGGCCAGCGCGCTGATGAGGAGCAGCTATGTGACTGCTGTTCCCTCCACCCTACAGTTACGGATGCCTGGTCACTCTTTTGAAATCCTTGTTTATCTTGGCCCAAAGCTCACACTTTATCTTGCACTGCTGAGTGCATATACAGCGCTCAACCCATATTACAGAACATAACAATTAGGAGAGAATTTTCATATATTCTTCCAGCAGCTCATTGGTGATGTTGGACGAGAAGGCCTGGCTTTCAGTCCACTATCTAATTAACACCAGAGGTTTTCTGTCTGATTTAGGGCAACCTTCCATGCACATCCAAAACTAAACTCTCTCATACATTTCATTATGGACCTTAGTTAGTGCATTGGTGTAAAAGGTTTAAACGTGTCAGAAGAGAAAAAGTCAATTTCTAAACTCTAAGCTTGGAACTATTGACCAACATATCAGAGTTCATTTCACTAGAAGTAAGGAACCAAGCCCAGCTCCTGGAAAAATGATCAGCTCCTCTACCAGATATAACACTATACATTCAGTCAGATGCTGTTGTCCTGGCAACTATCTAACCCAGGGGTCTTAAACCAAAACTGCTTAATGAGCCGTATTGGACCAAAAAACAAAAAACTAATCTGTCTGGAGCCTCAAAAATATAAAAGTCTTATACAGTAGTAGCCAATCAATATTTCCCCACTTACCTTAACGGGCCTTTGGCTGGTCCTTGGCTGGTCCTTTTTAAACATCAATCTTTGTACTAAAATATTCTTTTTGTCATGATTTGCATACATTAAGATCTAAAAAGAATCGTCATCTCCCTGTAGTTCAGTGAAAGGTTAGAGTCGGACTAAAAAATATGCATGCCCGGGAGAAGGATGGGTTAACTCCAGTGGCTGGAATTTGGATGGGATTCTGCTGGGAGTCGCAGGGAAGTGGGCTGCCATTCGGCTGGCGTTTGACTGGGAAGGGCCATTTTGAATGGATGCTACTGTATAAGCGTCGTGGCAAAATGGGCTCTAAGTGTGTTATCCCACAATACAAAAGGACTACATGGAGTTACAGTTTCATTACAGTGTCACAAGTACAGAGCAATAAGATGAACTCTCTGCATTTAACCCATCCCCTTGGGGAGCAGTGGGCTGCCATTGTGCAGCGCCAAAGGAGCAGTGTGGGGTTAAAGGTGATGCTCAGAAACCTGGAGTGACAGTCTGTGGGAGTGGGGTTCAAACTCAGAAGCTCAGGATTGCAAGCTGTGTGCCCTAATCACTAGGCCGCCAGTCCCCCATTTGGAATGGACCACCAAGCACTACAGGACCAGTTAGCAACCAGACTTTCTTGGTCTTCTTCTAGCAGAACTGCCCTGTCTCCATTGCTTTGACAAACGCTAAGCCTCATTCTCTGACAGTGTTTCAGAAAATTAATAAAAGGTCTTGTAACCAGAATTGAATGAGCTTATCTTGACACTGACTGACACTTTGTAGCAGTAATAGCAGCACATACTGTATTTGCAAAGCAGAGGTGTTTCAAGCAGGACTCCCTCATAGGTCTGCGCTCTGTTTGGCCCTATACTCATTTGGTCCAAATTGAGCCACAATCATCATACTTGTCGCTTCGTTGTAAGTTTTAGTTTGCTTTCAAAAATGACAATGTGAAAGCAAACCACACTTAACAAAATTGACTATTGGTCCAGATCAAACAAGGATAATTTCTACAACTTCTTGCAAGTGATTCCAAAGCCATCTACATTATAATGCATCCTAAAACGTATGGTTTTAATTTTGGTGAATGAGACCACAGCTCTCATTCACCAAAAGCCAGGGAAGTGTTAAGGTTCAGAATGTTACAACCTCAGCCAGCATTTATTTACCTCTGAGTGGATTGATTTTTCCCCATTCCATGACATTCCCCTCTCTGTTTTTTTAGGATCATCTTTTACTTCCTGCCACTAACCACAACAAAGGGAGTCGACCTAAGATGTCTGTCGTATTGCCAGCTATGAACATAAATGGTAAGTGCTGCAACACACGCACATGACTGTTGGTGTTTATTAAAAAATCAATGAACTGGAGACTTAAAATGAGAAATGAACTTTGTAAACAGACTTTCTTGACATTACAGTTCAGGATTACAGTTGGATCCAAGTAAGTTCAGGCATAATTTTACAAGGCAAGGCAGGTTTTATTTGTATGGCGCAGTTCAACACAAAGACAATTCAATGTGTTTGACATGAATGAAACAATAAAATAGAAGCAGAATAAAAGCAAACAATAAAGATGATGATAAAAGCAGGTAGTAAAGCACATAAAGCAGCTGGACCACAAACTAACTAATGATACCCCAATTAACAGTAATTAACAGGTCTAAAGAAATGGGTTTTTAACTTTTATTTATAAGAACTCAGGCATTCAGCACTTTTACTGTCAATAGTTTTTTTTCCCAGATAAGTGAAGCATAGGAACTAAAGGCTGCCTCTCCATGTTTGGTTCTAGTTCTGGGTGGACAGAGTTGACTTAACCTAGAACACTGGAGTGATCTGAGAGGTTGAAGCACAGACAACAGATCTGTTATGTATTGAGGTGCTGATCCATTAAGGGATTTAAAGACTAACTGATATAAACAAGGTTGTACTATTTCCTGATTAGTATAACCTTGGACTGGAAGAATCCCAGCTGTTTGTTGAACTGTTTAACTCTAAACTGGACTCTGCATCACACTTGCATCATTATTCTGCACTACCAATGTGCCAAACATTTTTAATCCTTTTAAATAGGACACATCTCAAATGTTTTACTGTATTTTGCACCATATTGAGTTTTACACTGCATTGGACTTTTTCACATCAATGCCATTTTGCACCACTATTTAAACAGTTTTCTTCTTTCTCCTACATTGTTACATTCTAATACCGCTGCACTTTATATTGATAATGTTTATCTTACTCCAACTGCCACCTCATTACACTGTTGGAAGCTGTATTCAACAAAATTTCATTTTGTATACACTCCATGCATAGAAAATAACAATAAGGTTTGTCTAGGTCTAAAGACCTTAAGCAACAACTAAATGCTTTCAACTGTTAATTGAATCTGGATCCTATTGAAGACATGGGTCTCTCTCCTGGTCTCACTGGGTGGGAATGAGTATTTGCTTGGTTGCATTTGGGGAGATGGGATCTGAGGCATTTTTCCCGCCCCATTTCAGAACCTGTCATGCAAACATTTTAATGCCTGCAAATATATAAAAAACTGTTATACATGAGTTACCTCTGAATATTTAAAGGCATAAAACCTTTGACTTTCTCCCACTGTGGTTGCCAAATTGTTCTTTGATGAATCATTTAATCAATTTGTTTCATATTTCCATGAGCTCATGTAAGGCCTTAAGACCTGCTGGTCCATAAGGACAGTTTGCCAGAGTTAGGTCACTTAGGGTGTTGGTGGAAAGAGAGCATCAGCTAACAAATGTTTTTAGTTGTGGTTGACCTTTACAAAATCTTTGCACAATAAACTGTATGATGTTGTGTTCAGGACTTTACTAGCTGTTAAGATGGCCCTATCTTTATTGATAGCTTAACAGTGCTTTTTAACTGAAATCTTCCAGTTCTTCGGTTTGTCAGAAAGAAAGACAAAGATTGAGAATATTTGGATATAGGCCAATGAGAATGAACATTGTTCTTGGTTTGTATTGTTGTTGAGAAACTTTAAGTTCTGTATTTGTCTGATGAGCCATTAAACTGCCACTGTGTCCAATCCAAAAGATGCCAACAAAGATGGCGTTCATAAAGACCTTAAAGTCATTGGTTCCCCAAAGAGAAAGGTTTCCATTTGCACCATTTGTCGTTAATGCCTGCAAAGTATTTGGATCACCTCAGGTTCTTTGCATCCAACATGCAGACAAGACAATACGGTATCCTCTTTTACAAGATGCTTGACCTGACATCTTTGACCCAGCTTCAAGAAAAGCAATGAAAAACAAGCTAACAGACGATAACAAAGTGAGGCCAGATTGTGATTTTGTGCAGCACAGCACACACGTGATGCTCTCTTTTCTTTAACCCCCACGTGTCACACAGAGATGACAGCTTCTAGTAGCGCAGTTGATTTATGCCAACTTGAAAGTGATGAACTTCAAATCTATATATTTATAAGGGCTGATGCCATTAGAAAAAGAAAGGCCCAGCTCTCTTAAAGGAGCTTGATTGCTCCACGCTGGACGATAATGCTTTCCAGCTCCCTGTGGGTTCACTCCTTTAGGAATGCCTTCCTCCTAAAGTCACTTAATGGTTTTCATCTGGGAGGAGGTAGATTTGATGTTTTAATCTGCAGTGATTGTCCGGTCTGTCTTGGTTAAAAACCAAATGCTGTTGATAGAAGCTTTGATCAGAGTATTTCTGTGTTTTGCCCCAGCAGTTCTGTTAAATGGCATCGCTTTGATCGGCACACCTTATAAGGACTGAACGGTGTGTTTGTTTAATGATCCAGTTTTAAAGAAGCCCAGTCAGGTGGAAACAGTCGTGTGTGTGAAGATGGTAAAATAGTTTTGACAATTTAGCCTTTCAGGATATATTCATTATATTAACCCTGGAAAACTGCCTAGGTTTCACAATATTTACGAAAACACTTGATAGAAAAAAGTATAATATCAAGTAACCACTTGTTCAAACCAAAGTAGTGCCATAATTGTCTTTATTTGTTGTCAATAGATTTATAATTTTAGATATTTTCATTAAAAAAAACAGACTTTGACCAAAATATAAACATTCCCTTAAGTTAGTAGTACTTACGCTGCATGCAGTTTCTTTTAAGGACCAGTTTGCACTTATTAGAGTAACAATTAGCTTGTTTTGTTGATTAGTCAGGCTGTCTCTGCCTGTGAGGCCAGTACTTGGCTGGTTAACAGACATACTGGTCCCAGCTGTAGCTTAAAACTCTCTTGCCTTATTAGGTTGTTAATGACTTTCCATGATCCTCTCAACTGGAAAAGTTTGAAAGGTAAAATGATTCTTTCTGATTAAGGAGGGGGAGAAGTGTAGCAGCTGGCTGACCAGCCCTACACAGCAGCGGCTGTGGTGGGGGCCTTTCTCTATTCCTAGGACAATGGGAGAGAAATCTTCTCTTCATCACCTGCTCTTGCATCTTATAACATAAAATTGAATCCATAAGAATGATATAGTAGAAAACTTAAGTGCTTTTTAAAACTTAACTAACTAAAAAACTTGTTTACAATTAACCTACATGTCCCTTCCTCATCCTTTTATTGTTATATCTCCTATTCTGAACAAACATTAGGATCTGGGTCACAGTACTCTATTTATTTTTGTCTAAAACTCTGTTCAAGTTTTTTTTTTAGCATAAAGGCAAGAATACATCAACTTTCAGACCTTCAGGTCTTAATGGAAAGGAAACACTTATTGGGATCAAACCCAGTCTTCCTCATACACCTTGGGCTGACTCTATGTTTGTTTTTAGTTTTATTAAATGTTAGTCAGTTTTCAAATGATAGTCTGATCTACATATTGGGCCTGATATTATAAAGGTTTGCACCAGTGGAGGTTCTGGGTCCTAGCCCATATTTAGCAGGGGGGCATGGTGGGTCCATGTTTTTCTTTTTGTTTGTTTTGTTTATTCATCGGGGCACCAAATAAAGGAATGAAACAAACAAAAACAAAAAGTCAAAAGTTCATCGCTTAATATATTAAAGCTGCAGTCTGTAACATTGAGAAGAGAGCAGACTTCGACTGAAAATTTGAAGAAAAACAGGTTTCACGCCACTCCCCCACCCTCTCTGCTTCACTCATACCCCACCTCCAAGCTCCACCCCTCTCTCAGCATCTGCGCGGCTACCGCATGCGACCAGAAGCGTCGAAGCAGCGTACGCGGCATGGAGTGTGAACCGGTAAGAGCGATAACACTCACCTCCAAGCAGCTAGATATAAGATGCTGGTTATACCGAAGTTTGCCGTGTAAGAAGTTGTCGGCAGGGGCAGTAAGGGCAGTTGTCGCTCCGCCATGACTTCCACGCGCGTCCTCCTGACTGCGGCGGCAGCGGCAGGTTAAGCGGTGAGAGGGGGGGGGGGATTCAGCGTGTGTGAGCTGTGATTGACACTCCATCAGACGCTCCTCTGGCTGTGATTGGTTGTTTTGTCTCGTCCCGAAATATTCTTTCCAGATTGAAATACAGGCAGTAGGCGGTACCAATTGAAGCAGTTTTTTTCACAGGTTACATATCACATGTACTGCTGTCTGGGCATAGGGACGGTTTTACCCAATATGACAAAAAGTGATTTTTAAAAACTTACAGACTTCAGCTTTAAGTAAACTAAAGAGCCATTTGCAGCTCTGAAAACCTCAGACATTACAGATGAAATGGTGACCCTATTGTGATATGACTGAAGCCAAAAGTTCAACAACTTAATTAAATCATCATCTATAATCATCTATAAAATAAAACACTTTAAATATAAATGTTAATCATTGAAGTGACCTTTTAGATGGGGTTTCTTCTCCAGTACATATCGTCATTTATTTCTCATCAATTTATTTTGTATTATTTCTTTGATACGGGGACAATAAGGGGGTCAGGACCAGTTCTACTGCGGCACTATTGGCACATATCCAGAACTACCAATGGTTTTCATGTCTTAAAACAAATAAAGGTGCAAAGGGATTTGTGTTTGCATTCAGCACATAGCGTGTGCAAACCTTTTTTGTGCCTTCAAACAACTTGAGCCATTTGGTTTGAAAACCAAATGGCGTAAATTCATCAGTGGAGACTATTCAAGTTTAAACATTTATTACCTGCACAGCGATTTTCCATGCAGTCCTCATCTCTTCTAACAACAGGGATTTCAATTAAAAAAAGCAGGAACCATAGTTATATTTTATGTGTTTTCAAAGAACTGCAGTGAGAAAGGCAAGCTTCAATGACTGGCTGAAACTGTAGCTCACCACATACATACGCCTGAATGTGCGCATGCACATAGAAAGATAAGTACTGTAACTGGGGACTAGGACGAAGGACGGCCTTACGTAAACTTATCACCAGACAGTTAGGAGGACCACTTATTTTAAAGATCAACCCGGAAAAAGAACATCCTCCGATATACCTTTATATGATTTTCATTCTTGCCTCCAGCCAGATTGCTTAGAACCTCGTCATTCCTTTACAACTGCTCTTAAATGCATATAGAACATGGAATCTGCATCTTAATAGGGCAGCACATCTTAGCAACTTCCAAGCGATCTTTTTAGTTCACCCGCAAAATGCCCACTTAATGCACGTCCTGGAAAGCTACCGTGGAACATTTGTCTTGCTGTTAAAACACTAACTTTATCAGTAGGTTACGGCAGAAATCCATACTTTTTGCAACATCTATTTCTTGACCCCTTCTGTCCCCACTGAGGATCTACAGCTTGTGATCTGAGCACAGAAAGCTTTAGACACCAAGAATCTCACTCTTACAAATGAGTTATTTCCATTCATGTTCAAGCAGGAAGTGTGAGGTTAAATAACACTGGCCACTTAATTTGGTACTGTATATGTTAAATGTAGAAATGTCTTATCTTTCCCATTTCAATTGTCCTTTATTTTATAAAAATAATGAACTTGCTTCCTGATCGCCAAACATTAAATCTTGTTATTCAGTAGTGATCCTGCCCTCGACCATTCAACCTGCGATGTTTCATATTTCTGTGTGTTGACTGGCAGAAAAAGTAAAAAAAAATGATGATTAGCTCTACTCCGGTGTGATTATATTTGCTGATGATATGCTTCCTTATATACAGAAGGGAAGAAAAGCTTCCTTCATGAATGGATTCTCTGAGTTTGTTCCAATTTGGCTTCCCCCATCCTGCTGACGGACTCTCCTGGGTTTCTTAGTGCATTAACGCATTGTTGTAAGACATTAGACCCTTATCAGCATACAGCAGCTCGCTGAAACATTCTGGATGCTTTCCAGATGGCACAAGTAAAATAGGGGGTAATAAGGCCAAGAGCAGTTAGACGGTAAATCTGGCAGCCTCTTCAAAGCATTGCTATTTGGAGGTAAACCTCGTTTTTTCATGCAGATGTGTTTCATCTTTTGCCTTTCAGGCTTCTTAAGAAGTTAAAGATCAAATTCTTTGATAAGCTGTTGAAGGATAGATGGAAAAAAGAGACTCGGACAATAAATGCAAGATCCAGATTTATTTTATGCAAGACATTTGACTTCATATGTTTGTTGTGCACTTAATTACATTGGATACCACCATTAGCTTTACTTTGTTTACTATACGGAAACTCACTACAACCTTTGCAAAGATAAGCCATCTGAAAGCAATTGGTCACACAGGATCAGGTAATGATGCAGCAGAAAAGCCTTGGAGTGTTTCTAAATTGGGCAGGAGGATTTTTTTTTTAAACCTTGAGAACATAACTGATTGTGAGGGCATCACCGGTTGACTTGAATGTGTCTTACAGATAGTATTTTGTTAAAAGCGGAAATGTATGCATGTAATGCATGTGCTGTCATGACAGGATACAATAAATTATTTATTCAGAAACTAAAAAGGAAGCATAAGCTCCTAAAATAAATCACAATCACAGAAATGTGTTGATGTAGAAATAAATAAATGCTGAAGGCCATTAACTTCTGCAAGTTATTCTAGTCTCTTCAGATGCACCTGTGTGGATTTGTATTTGATATTTCTGAGTCTACCTCATACAGAGCCCCGTTTTTTCTTTCTTTCTAGTAGCTGTAGTGTAGTGCTGAAACAAATGATTTCCTTTGATGTCTCTCCAAACACTGAAGCCATTTCAAGCGTCTAAATTTCACTGCAGGTGCATAAGATCCAGATTTGTCAGCCGATAAAATCATACCGAGCGAGAACAAATCTCACCTTCCCAAAACTTATTTATCCATGAAATCCCTCCAGCTGCAGTTGAAGTGATCATATGGTCCAGTTTGATGAGATCTGCTGGCTTAATACATCCCTAAAAAATCCTGCTCCAGGGAAGGAGAAGCTTGTGTCTTGGTGCAGGTGTCTGAAAAACCGCCTGCAGCTTTTAAACTTGCACACCTCGCTCAGAGGTGGGAGGTGTGATCCAGATGATGGGCTGACAGTCAAATCTTCAAGTTTTCAAGCTTTGATATAAATGCTAGCTGGGGGTTTAAGCATTTTGCTAATATCTTTTTTTTCTCCTTGTAGAATATCACAAGAGTAACCACTTTAAAGTGTGTCTTACTCTAGGCTTCTTAAGGGTTGGATGTGGAGGACCACAAACCACCATTGTTTAGTCCCTGATCTGATTCCAAGTTTGAATTCCTCAAAGGAAACCTAAATAATGACTTATATTTAGGTTAAGATGACTGTGAGAATACAGAGTATTTATGTGTGATAACAGTACAGTACACAATCTGTGGTGGAAGGAGTTATTCCAACACAATAGCCTCACTCATGACCATAAATTACTTTCAGTCTTTGAGGCTTTGCCCAGCTTTTTCTCTGCTTTGCTGAACGCAGCTACGGGGATCCTGACTCATCGTCAGCGTTCACTTCCCAAGCTCCCCTCAGACTTTTCTCCTTTTCTGTTCTGCAACTTGCATGTCCTGCTGTTGTTTAGTGAGGTTTTGTTTATCTGGGCGAAGGCGAAATCCGGTGTGTGACTCACCTCTGGGCTCCATTTGTAGCTCAGCTTGTTGCTTCCTTCCCCCACTTTCTCAAACAACACTCTTTGTAAAATCACTTGTTTTCAACCAGATGTTTAACATTGGATTAAACTTGTTGCTTGTAATAATACACTGGAGATTTTCTTTTGTATATTTATTTAATGAGAGTGATATTATCACATAGTCCAGCCCCCCTTTTGTCAATAAGAACATGTTTGGTCCTCTTTAACATTCTGCAAGATGTTTTATGTTAATCTGGAAAAAGTTTTGGATCATTATCCTCTTTAAAGTTTAAATCACCACCATATTTGTATTGTAAGTAGTTTTTTTTCTTTTTTTCCTCTGAGCTCATGGTGCCAGAAACTCTTAAAGTTTTTTCACATATTTACTATACTTAACTATGAAGATAGAATTATTTATCCTTTGTTACACACCAAAAAATCCATCTGGTTGCTCGTTGCTGCAACTCTAAATTGATCTGTTGCTATCTTAGGACAAAGTAGCATCAGTTTTAGATCAGATCATTTGGAGAAAACTTCATACCTGTATTGTTTACGTTCATCATTTTGTGGCACACTAGACTTGGTGAGTTTAGGGGGCCTGTCAGCAGCAGCTCTAAACTTTGAGTCAGAGTTCCAGCGGGTTTAATGATGATTTAATGTTCCTCTGACTGTAGAATAGTGAAATTTAGGTATCTGTAGTCTATCAGACATTTCCTCACTTAAAGATCAACTCACATCTGCTCTCCTTGAGTGGGACGTCTCTAAGGCTTAAACAAGTCTGCTCCTGTGTCACATCTATATATGCCCCAGGGAAATGATAAGTCATGAATTACTGATTAGGCATAAATCAGATACTAAATCCTTATTGAATTTCACAAACTCCTCCTCAAAATGAATTTATTCCAACTAAAGTTTGTATTCTTTCCAGATTTCTCTGTGTGTGAATATTCCATTGTAATTATCTAACACTACGCTAAAGGTCCCTACATACTCCACGAGAAGGGAGACATTTTGTTGTTGTTCTCACTCTTGCAAGAAATTAGAAGTTTTATGTGTCAAATAAGATTTATGCCATCGATGATGATTTAGGTAGGTGTTGGTTAGTTGGAAAAGCTGAGGAAAATTTGGCCCCTTCTGTTTTTCGTGTCGGAAATCCGTACAGCGAAGATTGACTCGTATGAAAATATGAAGCTTTGTTTGATATGTCTATTAAATTATGTAAAGCATATTGGTCTCCTCTGCCTGATCAAATAGTAAAATGGGTCATTTGATACTTTAGCGTGGCAGCTGAACTTGTTTCACAGTATAAATACTCAATTTTTATTTTATTTGCATATTTAGTCATGGTTTAAGACTTCAAAACCATCCTGTTTCTTTTCTTGCCATTACAGACAGCATCATCAAGGACAAAGAGTTTGAGGTGATGATGCAGATTGACTGTGAGGTCACCGACACCAAGATCATCCACATCAGGTCCTCTAGCATCCCACCTTTGCTGCGGGTCAACCAGACGGACACGTTTTACCAGCGCGCTTCGACCGATGGCAAGCCTGCGCCTCCTGTCGGCGTGCTCATGGGCTCGTCTTAACCTTTTCTCTTCAGCACTTTTTTGTAACTTCCCAGCAAACCACATTAAGAAGAAATCCAAGACAACTCCTCAGTCAAGAACTTTTTTTTGTAAATACAGTTTGTTCCCCATGACTCCTTTACAGGATTGGATCCTCTTAGAATAGAACAGGAGAGGCTGCCTGCTTGGGTGGCAACACTGACTTCCCCCCGCCGCCCCACACATCACTCAGGGTAATTGTTAGTCTGCAGGGAGCCGAGCGTTGAACTCTGAGTCACCCCGTCATAATAACACAACTTCTAAAAGCTCCCTGTGAGACACCTCTGTCTACTTTTTACCCAATAATATTCGTTAAAGACAGTAAAGGTATATTTGTGATGTTGGTGCTTAGAAGGTGTAAATGTCTTCTGTCTAAACTTTCTTTAACAGCATTCAGTAAACTCAGGGAGTTTTAGGTTTTAAGCTACTTGGCTTTAATTTAAATATTCCATGTGCTCCATTTTCAGCACTTGCTCTATGAGTAAATCTAGTAATTAGCTTCTATGTCTTTGCACGATGTCTTTGTCTCTTGATCATGAACGGATATTAATACTGTACATATTTATTGCTAAATATTATGTAACAGTACATAATCCTGGTTCCATGTGTCTCTTTCTGTTTTATGTGTTTGCTTAAAATTGTCCTTTTATTCTTTTATTTCTCATGTTTTTTTGTTTTTTTTATACCAACTGAAATGTCCTCAATGGTAAATTTTTTTATTTAAGATGAAGGAAGATGGAGAGAAATAACACTTGAAATGTTAAAATGTAACATTTTTGTCAGTCTTTTAAGAAAAAACAGACATAAAGCCACTATCACAAACATTTTAAGACCTCTAAAGGCTTGCTTCTTTTTTTATTTTTATGAAAATTTAAACCTGATGGAATTTCTGTGCGGTGTTTATCTATCCAACTACAAAGCATCAATGTATATTATAGACTTAAAGATTAGGAATGATGGAGCATTGACTTTTGCATTGAAATGCCTTATTATTTTTCATTTTGTTGTTGTTTTCCCCTTCTTCTCTTAAAGAAACATTTTCTTTCTTTTATGTGAATTGATGTGAACAAAATAATTTTTTTCTTTTTGTTAATTTCGGTCAGTTTTTGTTTATATATCTCATATAAGGCAGAAAGTGTATTTCTTTTTGCAAATGGTTTGTTTTTGCTGAAAAATCATGAAATGCTTTGTTTTCCTTGTCGGGTTTCGTTTTATGTAGCATTTGTTGTTGTTGTTTCTAAGACAGAATCCCTCAAACATTAATTTTTTTCTGTTCGCCCAACAATATGAAAAAACCTTTTTCTGAAGTTTTGTCTTTCATGTGTTTAAACTGAAATAAACACTGGATTTTCTTAAAGTATACCTGTGTGCACCTCTTGGTTTGCTTGCAGGAACCCCTTCACTGCTTTACTTAACATTTTTCCTTTATTGTAAAAGCTTAAGTATTCATAATCACCTCTCCCACAATGTCTGTGTTTACATTCAGAGTTTACCCTAAATTACTGGTTTAGGCCTTCATTTTCTACATTCTTTTGCCATTTCCTTCAACTTTGCCTTCTTTTTTTGTTTCAGGTAACACTTTCAAGCCACAATTAAAGCAACCTTAACCTTTTGTTTAACAGAACAAAGACGCATCCTTCCTATGTCAATTTTGTTGGGATTTATTATAGAAGGAAGAATGTGTTTTAGGAGAAAAGGGAGCTCTGGTATAGATTATGATCCAAACAAATACAGTGTGTCATCTAAAAAAAAAAAAAACACTTTCTTATTTTTTTGTGTGTTGCTTAAATGTTCTAACTTTGTTTTTGTTTTGTTTTTTATCACAGCTCTGCTTAGAAATTTGGATTAATTAGTTCTAAAATCCTTAAAGAATACAGATAGTGACATTATTCATAACCCTTGAGCAGTTAGCGACCCATCCACAAGCTCCATTGTATTTTATTTGGGTTTTATATGACAGATGAACAAAAAAGTAATGTGCATATAGTGCAAATGGAAATTTGACTGGTGGGGTATTTGGATTTATCCCCCTTTTAGCTGATGCCCCTAAATAAAACCAGAAGAATTACTATTTGCAGTGTCAAAAAGCAAGGAATGTGCTCTGGGCAGGCGATTGGTTAACATTAGCACACAATAGGACAAATTGTGGAGCTCTCATGCTGTGGGGTTGTGTTTCTTTTGCAAGCTTTACAGGGGTCTGTTTAAAAAAGCAGGTTTAAAAAATCCACAACTCTAAATTAATCTAGCCTAATGTTTGGAACTCGGTTTCACAACGACTGCTATGAATAAGTTCAATCAACTCCAAGTAGAACCAATCAGAGTTTAGCATGTACCCAACAAGGTTGAAAAGCCATTATCAGTGGAGCACCGATTTGACGAGTCACCATGACAACGGGCAACAGGAAGTGCCTATTTCACCCCATTGGAACTAGTGTTTCTAATGCAGAAATAATATAAAAAAAGGGAGAATGTGTTTAAAGGTGAGAGAAACAGCGCCACAGCTGCAAAGGAGAGGAAGATGGCGAAGGAGAAGGTTGTTGCTCAAGTTAATGCGTAAGTTTAAATCAAGTGGTCTATGGCAGCCTGTTTTTAGATTTATTAAAACACTCTCCTCTGTGTTGTTCCATTTGTAGATCACTAAAATAAGATTCTTCCTGATAAAAATCACACTCATAGATGGAACTGTAATAATATATTTTCTAAATTACATTTTTATATCAAAAAATGTATTTTAAAAAATATACAAGAATTAAGTTTTATATATCTAGAACTGTTTACACATTTTATGCTGATGAAGATTCTCAGTCATCCAGGTCATAGTCATTCCATAAAAGTTTGGATTGTTAAGGATTGGAAGTATAGATTTTTAAACTTTTATGGAATTTACACATTTTATTTGGCCGTCCTGACATTTATCAGCTTGACTGAAAATGTATTTATGATACCTGAAAAACATTTTTTCCTGGTTGAAACAATCCAAATTCTGAGCAGTAATATTAGGAATATGGAGATCTGAAATTAATTTATAGACATCCAGAATGTTTATTCTAGATGTGGAGAATTTCATTTGCTTTGAAATGTTCATTTAGACAAAGAAAAAATATTTTTTTCAGAAATCAAGAATACATATTCAGTTAAACTAGTACCGGTACATATCAAACGGCTTGCCATAGTTATTGTGACGGCGATAATATTATGGAATTATTTCTTGAATGGTATTAGATCAATGTATCTATTAATGAGAAATATTCTGGCAGCAGGTGAAAATTGAGTCATAAAGGAGTTTTTCTAATATGTAGAACCTGTGGATTATCTCATGGTCCTCATGTTGATTCAGTCTTCTTTTACACAGTATACTAAAAGGATGTTTGCAGCCGCGCCTCGGATGTTATCATCCCAATAAATGGCTGTTATAAGCAGCTATCAGACTCATAGAACGGCTTCAGATTGTGCCAGTAGGATCATTAGGTTTTTATCATCGAGGGAATCCTAACCCTAAAGTAAGTCCTTTCCACCCACGGAATAATGAATCTATTTATGTATATAATATGAAAACAATTTCAGTAGTTCTATATGTACTGGAAATATAGCTAAATAAGAATAAAAAAAATCCATGTCTCGCTCATATTGAACAAACAAAAAACAAATATACTCATGCCCAGTCAGCTGAGTTATAGAATCCTCTCCCTATAAATATTTAATTCTCTGTGAAGATCCTCGTCAAACAGACAAGCAATCTTTGTTTTTAAAACCTAATATGTCTAACGGACCTAGTTAACGATATATATACATATATATCAAATTTTTTTTATTTTTTTTTTTATTCACAATACTACGACAAAAATCTAACTAATTCAGGAAATAAAACAACATGATTGGCTGTAAGGAGATTGGAGACAGGATACTCCGATTTTACTGAAAATTAAAAAAAACCCTGCTCCCCACCAGGTTAGCTCTGGGGAGAATCTTTCTACACAGACTGAAACAGAGGTTGAGTAAACTCCCTTTGTGAAACGGAAAAGTCAGAATTTCCCTGTTTTCAGTTTTTCGGTAAACCTGCTTCGTGAAACGGACCCCAGATACTTTGCATCTAATCTTAGGTTGAGCTACTTAAGGAAAACCAGTGAGGAGATATTTTTGTATAAGAATCCATAAAGCTGGTTAATATTCAATAAGACTTGCTGCTGTTACTGCAACTAAAGATAGTTGTGGAAATCATTCATTCGGGAGGTGGATAAACAGTACCATTAAAACTTTTATTGGTTAAAAGAAAATGTGAAAGGCATGTATTATTTTCATTCTCTTTATAATTATCTGCTTGTCTGGGGTTTTCACCTGACAAAGCATGAAGCAATTCAATCATTTGGCATAAGACAGTTCTCAGTGAAACATGATACAAATATTGAAGGTTAATCTATTTATACAAAATGTAAACTTTAATATAAACAATGTAAACACTAAGTATATCTGTACATTTGGCCTCGTTTGTCTCATTTCTGTGGCCATTGTGGACTGATCTACAATCCATTCAAAAATATAAAAAACAAAAAAGACAAAAAGGCTCTTAAGGATCTACATAAGCAAAAGTAATGTTGTATGTGACCTGGTGTCCATTGTCCCATGCGTACAGAACCCCTTCCTTCGGGTTATAGTCGATCTGGGTGGTGTAGGTGTAGTTGTTGATGAAGGGCATCCTGGGAATCATTTGAGTGTTTGTGTGTGTGTCAAAGGCATATTCCAGGTTGGCATCATTTTTATTGTAGCTGTCCACGGCGTACAAGACTCCGCAAATGACAAAGCAGTTCCCAAAGTTGTTCCTCCTAAGCCCAGTCCTCCAGGTGGTCTCCCTTTGAGTGCTGAGATCTATGGGGTTCAGCTGACTCAGGATGACCACCTCCTGTAAGAACCCCTCTTCATCCAGTGCCGGGTAGACGATCCAAAGCCCACTAACGTCCACGGCAAAGTCAACGTGCGAGTGGCTGCGCCATTCCCATGGTGACGAGGACTCCTCAAACACTGCGTCATGCAGCATAGTCCAGGCAGCCACTTGGCGCCGCCGCAGGTCGTACTTAATGATGTCGCGGGAGAAGGCCCGGTTGTAGTAGAAGGCCCCACCATAGACCACGTGTCCGGTGCCGATCCAGTTGTAGGGGAGCTTGTAGGAGTTGGTGAAACGGCCTGAGATTTTATCCAGAAAGACAACATCATTAAAAGAGAGGTTTCACAACATAAACTGCAACTTTTTACAGCTATAATAGAGAGCCAAACCTGGAAAGCTTCTACCAGAAGAAAAACTGAACACATCATTAAACTAATTGTTTCTCAAGACCCACTGATAACTGATACGTTTTAAATTATTGTGTATACTGTATTGATACCATTTAACACCTCTAATTGCTTTGAAAGCCTTCCATAATTCACAGCTTTTGATGTGATATCTGGGATTCACCAGGGTCATGTGTGTACTAACCACTATCTAACAAAAGTTTGAATTTTAATGAATGCAAATTTTTTTTTTTTTTTGTGTGTTTTTCTTTAAACTTGTAAGAGATTGTAATCAACAGATAACGTTTAAAAAGCTCTGAAAGGGTTAATCTTGACCTATTTTTTTCATCACATGACCCTAGAATTTTAACTGGGTATCAACATTTCACATCAGATGAATGAGACCGTTGAAAGGTCTGTGATTGGATGCCCTGTGGACTCGGTGCAGCAGGTGGGAAACAGACTACGTTCACACTGCAGGCCTTGATGCTCAATTCCGATTTTTTTTGTGAAATCCAATTATTTTGGTTTGCCGTTCACATTTCACATTTCCAAATATATGCGACATGTGATCTCCTGTATAAACTGTAGTCATACAACGCAAGTGACCCGCATGAGCAGTAGAGGTCACAGGCCAGCGTGCTCTGTTTACGGAAATAAAAATGGATGGTAGCGCCGGCGCACATCTAGCAGTCTTTCCCAACGATAAAAACTCAAACTTTTCAAGATGGTTAAACATAAATACTTCTCTCCGCATCATCGTCCGCCATGGTTGTTGTTTTTCTTGCCGCTTCTTCATAGCAAGACCCAGAACAGTGATCTTAGTCTGGTATTAAGGTCGTTCAGGTCGGATCAATGCGCCCCGGCCGTTCAGACACAGGTCATTTCAGGCTGCAGTGTGAACGTAGCCAAAAGGACCCTAATTAAAATAGCATCTCTGTTTGGTAATTTCTCTCACCCCAATCATGAAGCTGGTGAACCCTAAATACACCAGGAAGGGTTATCACAGATCCTTCCTCCCAGCAGCTGTAAGACTATAACCAGTACTCAAGTTGAGGGGGGATGGCATCCCCCTTCATTAAAAAACTATCCCCCTTCTTAAATGACCATCCCCCATACCATCCCTGACATTTCATTACTGAATGTGTAAAATTTCTACTATATATTAGCAGTAATAGCAATAATAGAAATAAAATCGAAGAAGTGGCCTACAATGACTATGAAGCTGATCCCAGTGAGAAATTTGTCCCTAACTATGTAGTGGCATCCATCCATCCATCCATCTTCTTTACACGCTTGTAGTGGCAGTGATAGCCATATCATTCCAGGCACTGACTGCAGTTCTACTGTTAGGTGCCTTGGTCAAAGACAGACGTGCCTGACATGGAACAACATATTGCCTTAGGTTAATAGACTATATTAATTAGGCTATGTATGCTTCTGAAAAAAAATTCCACCGTCTCCCTTCTTTTTTTCTTTTTCTTTTTACAACTAGACTACTGTCTCTAACCACCACCACTGTTGCCAACGGCCTCCATAAGTTGTTACATTCATGTTGATTTTGGACAGTTTCTGTCTTAGTAGGTTAAATACGTCTCTAGCAGCAAATCTCTGATGTTGCTGCTATTATTCACATATCCATTACTGTTAAATTTTCCACAGCTGATTATTGAATTTTCATTTTTCTAGATACAGACAATTTATATTGTAAAAACACTGTACAGTATTTATTTGTCTATGTTCTTATCTGTTAGTTTTGCACACTTTTCTAAGGTCCAAATTGTATGGCCACTTTAGCTATAACCTTTTGCTGCTGTAAGGCCACAATTTCCCCACTGTGGGACAATAAAGAGATTTTCTTTTCTATTCTATTCTATTGTAAAGAAAACACAATCCTAAATTTAGTAGAAAGATTTGGAGTCTCACCTCGTTTGAAAACCTCCAGATTCTGGAACTCCAGAAGGTTATTCCCATAATGGAAGTTTGTGACATAGATCTTCTCGTCATTGGATTTGGGATCCTTCATCCAAGCTCCCTCAGGTCTACCATAGGTGTTGTGAGTGATTGGCTCAGATATACTTGCCAAAGTGTCCTTACATTCCCCTGTCACAAACACAGGTAAAGGTGGAGATTTTAGAGGCAGCTATTAACTCCACCATCACCAATGCCAAGGAGTCTGAAAATAATTAGAGGCATTTGTTTTCTTCAAAATAAATTAAACAAGTAAGATTTCCCACAGGAGGAATAAGTTTAGGAATTTCTAAAAGGGAAATTTCCATTTGTTTGCTCCAAATGAGAACATTAGGCTCAGTAATTGCTTTCAATGTGAATAAGAAAAAGTCAAATAATGTTTTGTTGTTCTAGCTAAATCCTGGTAAACACTGGTGCATTATTCTCTTTTCACCCATGTTACAGATGGGGTGCATATATAAAGTAATAATCATTTACCAGTTTTTCTTGAAGTTGATTCCTTCTGGTTTTGCATTGGTTGTTGTATGTCGAGGTTTTCTGCCCCCACATCTTCTTCTTCCCAGCTAATTTTGTATTTCCTTTTGACTGCAGCAGTCAGTCTGGGAGTGCTGGTGACTTTAGGGGAGCGGGTTACAGCTGTGATGGTGCGTAGAGCCATGTCACCAGGTAAAGTGGGATCAGATGAGTGGGTGGGAGTAGTTTCCTCTTGCAGTGTTGATGCGTTGCTGTGCACTGAGGTGGAATACATTGTGGGATGTGCCGGAGCTGAGGGTGAGGGGGTAATAGTTGTAGCAGATGGCCGGCTCATGGTTTGAGCCTCTGCCATGGAGTTTAGATCTGAAGTTGTCAGCTTTTGATCTTTGAGCTCAAAGCTTGTGGTTTCCATCTTGGAGATGGGAGAATATCCCTTGGATAACGGTTCTACCGTTTCCTTCATGTCTGGCCTGTTGGAGGGTTGGGTTGGACTCAGTTTAGTTTGATTGGTGTTTTCAGGTGGGCTGATAGTTGAGGAAGCTCCTGGAGCTGTTGTCATGGGAACGGGCCAATCTGTCAGAGGTTCCCGGTTTTTGATTTGTAAACTGTTTGCAGTACTGGTTGGTCCAGCTTTAACGCTTCTCGCTGTGGCCACCTCTGCAGACACTTCCAAGGACTTGATTCCACTATCACTAATGATCTCATTATGAGACGTTAAGATGGGCTTTGTTTCCTTTAGTTTTAAAGACGGGGTGTTCCTCTTGGGTACAGGATCAGTGGACTTCGGCCTAAATGATCTCAACCAAGTTCGTGTCCTGGGCCGAGTGGCTTGATGACGAAGGAGATTCTCTTCAATAAAGAGGTTGATGGAGCCGTCTCCGCTGAATTCATGGTATTCAAACACTGAGGGCAGAAAAATTGAAGATTTTAACTTTTTGTTTTTGCTTGAAAACAAAATAAAATCATCAAAATTGTTGAACTGCAACTTGAGCTAGAAATGGAAATAAAGCTAAATACACCCAAGTGTATAAATCATAAATCTCAGACACTTAAATACCTCAGACGCCTTTAGTCCTTGAAAACTATTTATTGTCCTGCCTTGAGGATGATCTGCATGCACAAGCTGAGTTGCTTTCTTTGAGCATACAGAGGTGTACTTATTGGATGAAATTAATCTATCTCCATTTCTTTTCTTTGTGTGCTTCTCCAAAACACAAGCAGTCCTTTAACTCTATGCTCAAGTGATTTTATGCATCAGCAAGTTGCTCATGTTCAGAGTTGGGAAAGCATGCTTTTAGTTATTTTACCCCTGCTACCTGGAATGCTCTCCAAACTGAACAGACATAGTCCAAAATGATCTAATTTAAAACTTTTTTTGACATAAAAGGCATCCACAAAACAGTGATTCTTTAGGTGAGAAGCTAGTCTTTTTAAAATCGACTTGGTTTAACTATACTTCGCTATATTTCAATTACTACTACATTTATTTGTTTATTTCAGCATTCATATGTAATTAACTGCATTCCATGTGTAAAATATTATTACTTTAAGGTGCTTTGTGTTTCTGAGAAGCAATTGTTGACCTCTTGGTCAGTTCACCCTTGAAACAGACTTCTGTCTCAATGGGTTATTTTTTTATCTGATTACATAAAAGCCAATATAATAAGACATTTTTAAAAATCTTTGCATTTTACCCTGTTACAATCATTCTTTGTATTTTATTGTGATTTCAATAATATACCAAGAGAAATTGGAGAATTATTACAAAATGGAAGAAAAATTCTAGAATGTTTTCATTTGATTAGTGTGTCTTGCCTTTACTTTCAGCTCTGCTGATTATAATAACCTTGAATTAAATCTGATCCAGGCTTAAAATCAACCCACTGGTACTAAAAGAAACCATCAGTGTTTAATTTGTGATCATTACTAATACAGCTTTGGTGTTAAGGCCCCAAAAAGTTTGCAAAGAGATCATGAAACCAAAGGATGAGAGATTAAGTTAAAGAGATCTAAAGCAGGATTACAGTTTGAACAACACCTCAAGCTGTCGGCATCTCACAGAGCTGCAGCATCTAAGGATGGAAGAAGTATGGCATTTCTGTACGTCCACTAAGACATGGCATCCCACCTGAACTACTGACTGGGAGAGAAAACCATGCATCAAAGAAGCAGATGGCTAAATTGGGGGAATCTACTAACTGTGCACCCAACATAAGTCATTCATTACGGGATGGCAGTTATATATATTATTGAGGGAAGGCCTTATGGAGTCTCGTTTGCAATTTTTAAAAAATAAATACACGGTTTGCCTCAACTGTTTAGGTTAAGGCAAACCGTTAAAGGTTTACCTATCAGATGAAGCCAAACTCGCCTTTTGGATCTACATGCAAAAATTCCCGCCCTTTTAAAATCAGCAGATTGCATACTCTATAGGAAGTTCAATTCAATTAAAAATACTTTATTAATCCCTAAGGGAAATTAAATGTTGTAGTAAACAATTTCCTTTTCTTTTAACGAGTTGCTGTAGATGATAGCTGTAGCGGTCTGGTTTGTGCCAGATCTGAAGAGGTCATAGACTGAAGACACGCTGTTGTTCATTATTTTCTCGTTTCATGAAGAATTAATCTTTGGATTTGTTTACAGTGTAGTCCTGCTTCTTTTACTATGACTAACTGTATATGCTCATCCTCATGAGGAGTGTTGGCTCGGAGCTCGTCTGCCTGTTTTCTTGGACGGTACCACCTGTAGAGCTGGTTGACAGTTGCCTTTTAAATATCTGCTTCTTTCTGTATTTCTGCATTTGTCTCCTTCAAGCCCAGTCAGTGTTGGCAGATGGCCGCTCACACTGAGCCTGGTTCTGCTGGAGATTAAAAGGGAGTTTTCCTCTCCACTGTTGCTACATGAAAATTTGGTGTAAAAGATTGTTGAAGAGTCAATGACTAAATACAAGTGAAAATCTGGAACACCAAGGTATTCATACTCCATCACCACACCCACTTCTTCTTCCATGATGGTAATAGGTTTCAACTTGTTCCTATTTCTTCTGAAATCTACAATTATCTCTCTTCTTTTGTTCACATGATTGTTTCCGCACCATGCAACAAGCTGAGTTTCAGATTTGAAAAATCACCTTGAAGGTAGTATATATTTACATTTGCATATCCTCAAGCTATAAGTTGGTGTCGTTCCGTCATTAGAATATGATCTGCACTTTGATAGGGGAGCCCTTGCAAAAAAAAAGTGTGTTTTAATTTTCTCCAATCTTTTGAATATCAGGGAATACATCTTGTAAAACTGACATGGTGCATTGAGCAAAACAGCATCGTCAAGGTACTTTAGGGAGGCTTTTCTTCATGTTACTAAGCAATCCTGCAAAACATATTAGAGGCTGCAAAGATCTTGCCACTTGAAATGAGGTTCTCTAATACTCCTCCTTGTAACAAAACAAGAAAATGTGTGTTAAATTATGTTGTCTAATCTGACCAAGCTGCTGCTCCTGTAGAAAGAAGAATATGCAGGGATATATGCCTGTAGATCTGCAAGAAATATATCAAAATAATTGCTGCTGTAACTGCAACAAAAGTGGTCTTGATCATGTTACTCAGGTGAACTCTGCACCTGCTATCTCTAACCTACTCCTTTGTTCAGCTGCTAATAAACATCACAAGTTGCAGAGAACCTTAAAATATTAGTTCCAATGAATATTGATCCTTTTTTGGATTATATTCTACTTTGTGTTAATATGTCAGATACCAACACCCCCACCAAAAAAAGAAATTGTTAAAAGCTAATTGGGTGTAAAAACTTTATCAAAGCACCATATGCTCTGCTTTGAACTCTTTTCAGTGCAGTACAATCAATCTATGTGCAGACTTCACCTTATTATTTTCAGTTCAATTTAATTAAAGCTTACTGTTCTCGCCAGGCTCTCCGTCATCTGCCACCATGGGGTCTGGCTCCACAGCATCAGGCTCAGATTTATAAAAAGTCATCCCTCTGATGATCATTTCATTAGATCCAGCCTTCGACACCTGAGAATCCTCTTTGTTGGCCGTGGTATTTAGAACTTTGATCTCAGCGATCCTATCAGAGCCAACGGGCTTTTGAGTGGCTGGATTTTCCGTCGTAAACTTTTCTTTGAATCTTTCCTGTTGACCATAAAAACAGCAAGGATTAGTCTCATCTTTTTATTGGTGGAGCATTCCAATGTGTACAATTGCTAATAAATAATCCTAGTGAAAAATAAAACAGCAGTTATTAGAAGATAACTTTTCAATTTTAAACACAGAGCAGAATCCGGTTGGTTGGACTCTACCCAGTATATGAAAGTTAAAAGCTGGAAAGGATCAACACCCAGCAGGAAAGTCACAGTTAGGGAGTCTGCTTTTGTTCACTGATCCCACCAAACATTCATATTGCCTCACGGACTCTTTTACACATTCCTTTTACAGAACTGGGATTTTAAGGGGAAATCAGTGAAGACGTGTGATTTATCTAAATAAGATGAAAGAAAGAACTGACATGTGATAACTGTCCTTTAGGTTTATGAGTTTGATACACTTGGAGCCCTTCTTATTTTGCATTTTATACAAAGGTTTAATTTCTTATTTCAACGGGATATAGTAAAGCATCTGTTGGATTGTTTAGTGAGATTGATGGATTCACTGTTGATACATTTTGTTTTACAAGGTCAGAAATCTGATATCTGTCCCAGAATTTTTCATTCTTAAAACTATTTATTGCACAAATGAAATAAGGTTTTATTTCATCATATAAATAGGATCAAATTTAGAATCAGGATCATGCTAAATTACTGATAATGAAAAGCATGGGTCATATGTAATTACCTTAGTAGGATAAATATCTTATGCAGTATAAATATTTTTACTTTATAGCGACTCTTTTATTATTATAATAATCCTCATTGACATGTCAAGCTCTCTCTTACCTCTGGATAGTGGTAAGCTGCCGCCTTACTAACATCACCAAATCTCTCCTCCTGATGTGGCTGAGGAAGAGGAGTAGCTGGGCTTTCAGTTACTTTCATTTTTAATACAGGACTCCCTTGAGTCTTTGCTTGGCCAACAGACACCGCCTGGAAGATATGAAGCCAAATATAAACAAAGGTTTTAAAGATTCTACACTAGATTTTAGAACTGGTTAAAAATGAATGAAAGCAGAAGAATAGAAATCCTTCCTGCCGCTACTTTTGCAGAAAGGATCATCCAAACTGACCTTCCCTCCATCCACAATCTACACAAGTCTGGGACAGAAAAACACCAATATTTTTTGCTAACCTGATCAGAGGATGTTCAAACTTTTACCTTCAGGTTACTTCTACAGTGAAACATTGATATGGTGTCTCACAGATATTTTTGACAAACATGAGAAAAGCTTTTGTGTTCTTGATGGTCAGCTGAGGTTTTTCTGTTGGACATCACACTGCAAAAATGTTCTGAAAATGAGTAGAAATTTCTTAAAATAACTGTATTTACCCTTAATTTGAGTAGGAAAATAAGATTATTTGCCAATGGAATTAGCATTTTTACCATCAAAATAAGGTAATTATTTATTATGCACTTGAAATAAGAGACTGCAGTTATTTTCTCATTTTTAATGTAAATTGTCTTATTCAATTAACAAATTGACTCTTATCTGCTCAAATTAACAAAAAATACAATTGTTTTAAGAAAAAAATTCTTACTTAGATTTAAATTTTTTGCAGTGCAGTTTTGCCAAATTTCATGCTGAACCATGAACTTTGACCTCACTGAGGCGTATGAGGCCTTCAGGGTTTTAGATGTTCTGGATTCGTTTGCGACCTCCTGGGTGTCAGTGAGCTCTTAGATACTTTTGGTTTGTCACTCATGTCCACAGGGGTTCTCCACTGGTTCAGGTTTTCTCTATTTGTAGATAATCATTTATCATGGTTGCCTTGAAACTTTAGAAATTGTTTTTTTTTTTTTTTAAGTCTAACAAGACTTATAGTCATCTATGATTTTCTTCTTCACTTTTTTTTATTAGAATCTTTTGTCGCCTTTTGAGATCTTTTGGCATCCTCTTGTTTTCTGACAGGTTATATTGAAGGGATTTCCTTATTCTACACATGTTCAGGTCTGGGTTTGGCGGTTGAAAATAGACCAAAAATGGGGTTGATAAATTAACCCATGATTTACTAAAGGGAACCAATTATATTTTTACATGGAGCTTAATTGATCCGGATGTTGGTTTTTTGTAGTAAATAAAACCATCACAGAAAACTGCATTTTGCATTTACTCAACTTATCTTGTGTTCATATTTGAATAAAGGAAAATGTTATCGTAACCATTTGCTGTAGGCATTTCAACTTTTTAGCATTGTGCAGCTTTTTTGTTATTAACTTGATGATTGGTTAGGACCATTTTTGTTATATATTAATGGCAGACCCTGAGAGGGCCCAGCATATCAATAACTATTTACTTCATGTTTGTTTTCCAGACATAAAAAGATCCCTTATAAAGCAGCACTGTTTAGCTCGCTACATTCTTTTCTTCAAACTTGCCGTGTAAACCTTCCATTTGTTTCTCCTGCACCTGTTGGGATGGGTTAACTTGAAAATCAACTGTATATTTAGTATGTTGACTTTAGCACAGTCTCAGCTGCTCCTCTTCTATCTTAGCTGTAAAGGTTGTCATCATAGATATGAAGCAAACAGAGTGGATGCTCAAGATGAGGCTGGTGGATAATGCTACGTTCAGACCGGATGCAGCAAAATCGCGTCTGCTGCTTTTGCGGGTTAACTTCAATCTTAACGCGACAATTCAATGCGAAATATGACCTTCTTGGCTTGCCATACCGCGGGACCTTTTGCTGCGCCTTGACGCGCGTCAACCATTGACTTTGCATGTAAACTCGCTGCTTCTGTCGCGCCAGCTGCGCCCGGTCAGATTTTGTTTTTTATTTCTAGTCCAGCTCATCTTAGAGATGCTTCCCATTTTCTGTTATTTTTCTATTAATCTTTAAGTTTAGCATAAGGAAAGATCTAAGGTATAGGTTTTTTTCTTTCTTTGACATCATTCTCTTAAGCTGTTCTAAATTAAAAAAGGAAAAAGTCTTGTGAATCCTAAAGCCGAAGGAAGGTTTCTAACCTATCAAGTTGGAATTTTAAGGTTTTTATTGCATTTTATTCCACCACTGCTTGAATTTTACCTTCTCGATGTGATCCACTCGTTGCAGGAGCTTATTCGTCAGAGAGTGCAGCTTCAGTAGATCCATCCCATAGAAGGAACCCTCCAGCAGCTCCAGGATGGTGGACAGCTGCAATGATTGAGTGAACGCCATCAGAAAACATAGTTTACATCAAATGTGGCATTAGTCCTTTTTTGAATGTTATCAATCCATCTAGAGATCCAAACCTCCCAGGAAATGAATAAGTAACATCAATGTTTGGTATTTTCATAAATTAATGAAACCCATCTGAAGTCATTTTAATTATTACCTTCAAAGAACTTCTATGTAATAGACTAAAACAAAAGTAGTCCAAAACTGTGAAATGGAAGTAAGATATAGCTTGTTTTCACACTTTATACAAAAAAAAAAAGAGAAGCGTGCATGTCTTCAGCCACTCAACCTTTTAAATCTAGTACAAATGGCTGCTTTCTTAGGTCACCTGATTAGTAAATGCCCCAGATTGACATACTGCTAGACCAGACTCTTAAGCAAGCAACAACTGCGGACACAGAGGCAGATTTAACAGTTTATTTCCTAGTTAAATGGAGAAGAGCTCAGTCAACTTAGACAAAAACAGGGAGAGAGAGTCTGAGTTCTGGATCCTTATCCAGAGGATTGTCCTGTGTTGGATTGAGGGTGGACAGGCAGGCTGATTGTTCCTGTATGGGCTCCCCAGAGAGGAGACAGTTCCAGAGCAGCAAGGAGGTGGAGGAAACGGACCTGATCCTGGTGAGCGTCTGATCTGGTTCTGTGGAGAACGAAAGCAAGGAGAGATTAGAGGAGACTCTGGGAGCTTAGTTCACTAGCAGAGCTTGACCTGTTTTACCACTGAGAGAGCGGAACCAACTGGCAGCATGCTCCAGGAAACTGCTCCAATATAAAGGCCACCACTGATTGTC